TGTGTGAAACTAGTGAATTTTGGCATAGGTCAACATTCGCCAACTTCGATGAATCGAGCGTGAATTTATCAAGAAAGCCTTGGTTCTATGTAAGTATCGATGTTGTTAATAGGTGTTTAATTATTTACAGAAAAATTACTAGGCATTTTCCTTGAGAGTTATTGAACAAAACCGGGAACCAATTTAGAAAGATGTTTTGAAATAGGTACCTGTTTTTAGCATACGTTTGCTGGCGTAACAGAATTTAAAGATAATTTATTCGCAAATTAAAAATTAAATCAAGGATGGTGCTTATTTGCTTTAATATTTAGGCTGCAAATCAATTAAGCACCAAGTAATTACCTACATTGTTTAGAAGAGTGGTTCTTAACATATTATTGACCAGGGATCACGTGGCTACTTGTATGCTAGTGTGAATTTAAAAATATATAGGCTTATTTTTTATTTCTTTAATTAACAAATTAATTAACAATTATTACTGTAACAAATTAATTAACAATAATTGTTATTAAAACAAAAGTTGCAACATTAAATATTGAATGCTACAGTCGTGGTTACATCGTTACATCTCTTCACTTTACAAATGTTATAAATCTTTTAAAATTGTTACCACTGTTTTTAGGGGCCTAAAAAGAATGTTACTTCATTTTATTCAGTGCTTTTATAATTTTAGACATTTTAATTTAAAATAATTATTAAAGCATTAGTTTATCTATGGAATTATTTATACGAATCACCACAATATTTATTATTTATACGAATCACCACAATATACCTATAGGTGTGACATACTTTTGAGGGGTATAAAAGCAAAACAAGCAATCCCCACTGCCAAATCTTTCAGGACACAATTTTCCAATACGTTAAACTTTTTTTTCTTTTTTACCTACGTTTTCTTGTAATTTATTTTTATTTTGATATCCAAATTACCTACTGTTAAAATAAAAAAAACTTAAGTAATTAATTTAATATTAGTAAAGTAATCAGCAATTTAAGTTTGAAGATTGCCAGTTTTGCTTTAAAAAATTAATTTGCTAATTTGAAGGAAAAAAAATACCTCGAAAATTAGATATAGGATTAAACTTAATTAATTTAGTATTAGTCTCGGTATTAGTAGAGTAATTAGAAATTTAAGTTTGGAGATTGCCAGTTTTGCTTTAAACACTTGGAGATTGCAGATTTTGCTAAAAAAACGTAAAAAAATTACAAATTTGATAAAAAATACATGTACGGATAACGTTTATCGAAAAGAAACCAAGCGCCAAAAACTTTTTCTGGCGTAAACAAAATTATTTGCAAAAGGGGACATCCATTAATTACGTGAGGCAATTTTGGCAATTTTTCGACCCCCCTTCCCTTGGTGAGATGTCGTGAGATTTTGCTCCTCCCCCCTCCCACGTGAGATTTTTTTAAATATAATATTGATAATAATAAAAGAAAATAATTTGTTTGTATTTAGAAATTTTTTATTTTTTTACTATCAAATTACCACTATTATTAATTACTCAGAGTCGTGCACTTTTGAATGTTCCAAACTTTTTTAAATTTGATTATTTCCCTCATTATAATATGAACCAATCAAAAGCCTTGAATTTTCGAATAAATTTCGTTTAAATAAGCGATTAAATCACTATAGTCTATAGAACTATTTAACAGCGATTAAATTTTAGCCTCCAATATATATTGGATTTTTGTTTACGATTTTATGGTGATATTAACAAGTTTTAACAAATTTTTTTTAAAAAACAATAAAAAATAAGTTATCTAGGTAGTTTACGAAATATCAATTATTACTTATTACATACCTTAAATTAATGGAATTTTCTTTAAAAAAATATTTATATATTTTGAAACATACGTCATACGCTACGCGGTCTCGTGATTTTATTAAATTATTTTGCATTCAACATTTTCCAAGAAAAACCAAACAAAAAACTATTGAGCCTAGTTTAACCGATTAAATTCATAGTTCTCGTAATATAATATATGATTATTTAATGAATATTTATTAACAGTTATTCATATGTTTCGTCTTCGCGAAATATTTAATATTTGTTTAATTTTTATTATATTTATTTAAATATTATATCCAGCTTATTGCCCCCCAACGCGCATGTTTACCGCAACTATATTTACTTACCTATTTGACGTGATTGAGGGCGTGTATTAAGTGTATTAAGAAATAAGAGTTGGAACCGCAAACATCCCCGCGAAAGACAGTGATCTACCACGCGACAATATACCCGCTTTATCCTGCTTTGTGCATATCAACCGCTTGAAACCAACGCTAACAGCCTAATTGCCAGAAACCAGACCAGGGCCCTGAGTGTCGTCATCAGCACCAGCAACAAGGTAGAACTTTATTAGTATTCTTACTGCCCACGTTTAATCTCGTAACATAACTCAATCAACTAACACCACCATCCCCTATTTCTCACATTCATACAGTCCACTGCCTACCATGATATTTAATAAATTAATGAATTGTTTCCAAATAAATGGATTTATTAATAGTTAATAAATTTTTTTAAACAGCGATATTATTATTTATGATTTAAACCTATTTTAGTGGAGAAACATTTTTTACTTAATTTAACCGAGTTTTCTCGCAATTTTACACTTTTTCTTTCGGAAAAAAAATTACGTGATATTTGCCGAGACCACCCTTTCCCCTCGTGAGATTGAGTGAGGTTTGGCTAGACCAGAGAACAATATTTATTGACAAATAAAATTGATTTTTATAAAAGCGGCTAATGGCCAAATGGGTTATGACAACAGCTTGACAAGCTTGGCAAGTGACAGACCTGAGTTCAATCCCCGGCTGGGTCAAAACTTTTTTAAATTTAATACTAATTTGACTATTCCATTCAGTAGAATTTGACTAATTATTAGTGACTGCTTTTTCGCTATGACAATTAGTCAAATATGACTTATAATTAGTTATTTTTGACTAATTAATTTTAAGAGAGAAAGGTTTTAATCTCGGTTTTAATATAGGTAAATGTAGGTAAGGGATCATTCAAGTTTTACGTAAAGCTCGAGGGGGGTTCAGAACGCACGTTACGGTTTGTTACTGTGTGGGGTTGCCTAATGTGTTACGTAAGGCAATTTTGATTATAACAAGAAAACTAACACATTTATAACTTCATTATTGGTAAATTATCGTCGGATTCGTATAAGAACCGATAATTCTTTTGAGAAAGCTCCTTGTGTGTTTAAATTGTCACAAATCCAACCCATAGGTACTTTCTTTTTTAATTTTTTGACTGATGTGTGTATTTAAATAAAAACGTGAATTTTAAAGCTTTTTCGTTTCCAAGCCTATTAGTTTCGATTGCACAAATGTAGTCTTTAACCTTTCCTAGAAATAAATTTATATATACAGTTATTTATGTATGTAGGTATACCTAATATATGTACATACATGTATGTACATAAATGTATATATTATTTTTTTAAATATAAAAGAAAATCCCAAAAACATTACTTATCAACTCGTTTTTTTTTAATTAGAAAAATTGGAATTAGATTTAAATATAATATACAGTATGTCCACGAATGAAGTTACAAGGGGGAAAATAAATATTTTACATTTCTTAGAAAGTTTAATTCCCGATAAAAGTTTTTACTTGATTTCAAACCCCCAGAATATACCATACCGAGTACAATACATTTTTATTTGCAATTTTGATTTTTCTGAAATTTAAAAAATAAATTAAAAATAATTTACCATTACAATAATTGTAATGGTCAGTTTTCGTTCATTTGTCATTTTTTTTTAACAAAAAACAAATAGAGCGGCAAACTTTTTATTTTCACAACTAATTAGCGGCACAAAAGCGGCAAATTCTTGGTATAATGGAAATTCGATTTTGTTGTTTCGCTAAGTTGAAAGACATTATTTTCTTCTTACTTCTTTTAAATTACCATTTTTTTATTTAGGCTAAAAGATAACAGGGTATAACTTTATTAAATTAAATAATATTATTAATATTACGTTTTTTTAATTGAAAAGAAATCACTTATGATAATAAATAAAACTTTTACGGTGTTTCTATATTAAAAAAACTTTTAGGCACAATATTAAATAGTTTTTTACTAAAAATTTCTATTTTTTGTTTATTATATTTTTGGAGAACGCAATTTTATGTTCAGAATGTTTAAATTTCATAAGGCAGTTTTAGACGACGAAAACGTGGGTAAAGGAAAAGCTTAAGGAAAATGTAGCTAATTATTTATTCATGGGAATATACCTATATTGCCAAGCCTTTGGATTAAATACGTAATTAGAGATATTTCACATTTTACATAAGTAGGTAGTGTTTTTTTTTCAAAAAGGATGAATATAAAATGTAATGTCCCAAATAATGATTTTATAGTTATTTTTAAAAGTTCAGCTAGAAAAACGGTATTGTATAAAAAACAACTGCTTTGGAAAACATTTAGGTACTAAATGATTTATTGACATTCAACAATTTTATATGTACTTATTTTGGAAAATTTTAGTAAAATAAACTCAAAAAGAACAATGGCGTGATCTTATTGGCAAAACTTGAAACATGTTAAGCTGTCACCGCAAAAGTAGCACGCAAAAAGCAAAATAGGGTAAAACATTCGAGTACACTTATCGCTTATTTGTTACCAAAGAAAAAGTGTACCTGTCGCCCAAAAATTCCTAACAAAATAATATAATATAAAACAACTTCGGGCCAATGTTGAGTTTCAATATTGGACCATGCTAGAAAAAATCTGACGAAAGATATATTGGCCCAATATTATTACGAATATTGGGCCAATATCTTTGTGCTACTGGGGTACCTTCTTTTAAAAACAAAATAAAAGAAAAAACATTTATTCGGTATTTAATATACACCGTGTAACAGTGATGCGCTATATTGAAAACATGAAAGTAGTCCATGTTTATAATTTAAAACTAAAATTACCACTCTCCTAAATTAATTGGGCTAATATGTATATATCTTTTTTTTAGGACAATTCAACGGCCGCTTCTCTAATATGATAATCGAACAATACAGGTAGGGTGGATTGGAATGCCCATCCTGACTTTCGCACGCGCCCATTTCAAGGGGTACAAAGGGTTGTTGATTTTCGTTTTGGTCACCTTATTTTTTCTCAAGCTGTTCTACGGAAACATTATCGAAAACAAGCCGACATTGCTGTTCAACTCGACAAGGTAAGAATGTTTTAAGAACAATAATTAAACAGTCCAGATACGGAGAAAATATATTTTTTAAGTTGTAGCGTTAGAACTCTACAGTACAATTTTACATAAGATATCGGTTGTTATAAAAACAAATGAAACAACTCCTCTGCTTCGAGATGAACTTGGTCCACGTCTGTATTTTTTTGTGTTAAAAATATTAAACTAAATCATATAACTTGGTAATAAATATTTGGCAGCTTAAAATGTCACAAGAGGTTTGGTTCATTTACTTGTCAATGTTTGTTGAAAAGAATATAAATAATCTTAAAAGTAAAAAATTTGAGGTTATAAAAAAATATGTCATTTTTGTGAGTACCAATACTACGTAAATTTTACTAAAAATCGTTTAAAAATGAGCTTCATTCTTCAACATTTTTGCGTTCGAGAATATGACATTCTTACACCAAAATTGAAACAAATGTTTTCCATTCTTTTATATAAATAGATGGTGTAAAATAACAATTCTTTTAAACTTACCTATTACGTGGTAGTTGTCCTGTAACTTTTTTAATCAAATTCAATCACTTTATTTTTTAATTGATTATAATATATTATATTATTTGAAATTTTAAATGTAGATCTGGTTTATAAATATTATTTATTTTTATTTTACAAGTGTTATTTAGGTCATTAAAAATGTATAAGAGTCAGAGGCGGATTTACAAATCCCTTGAATATACCAAATTTTTTTCACAGTGTAACCTGATTCAATATTGAAATTGTATCCAATCAAAACCAATTAAAATCAATATAATTGAAAGAACATTGTATATAAAGAAAACATATTGTATATATGTCCAACTTAGTAGGATTCCTACCAAATTTTAATATTTTAGGAAACGCCTCGGTAGGAAATTTCATCGTAAGTAGGACAGTGAGATTTTTAGTAGAATTTGAAATAATTTAGGAAAACTAAAACGGTTTCCGAGTTTTAAGCATTGTCTTTAGTCTTTCGACGTTTCGACAGCTGTTCAGAAGACAGCAACATGGCTGTCGAAACAAATTACTATGAGACGCGGCTTAAAACTCGGAAACCTTTTTAATTCTAAAGAAAATGACCGCGAATGCCTTAAAGATAAAAAAAAATTTGTTTTGTTTTTTAAAAATAGTTTTACAATTGTTTTTTGTTAACTTTGTTATTAAAAGTATTGCCTTTATTATCAGTACGACAGTATCACTTGTAACCATCAGACAAATATCACTTCGCTACACAAAATCTATCCATAGCTGCTATAAACAGTGCATTTTAAATCCAGAATACCTAACAGGCAATTATTCTATAAAGTTTCGGCCAACAGAGTACAGCCTGCCATTGATTAAAATATAAATGCAACTTAACTTAATTGCTAGAAAAGAACAGAAAAAGTAATACAATGTATTACACAAAATGGAACGCTCGGGCCAGCAGTGTAATAACCAACCAAGCCTCATTCATGAATCCCAATTGAATTACTAAATCCCTCCTTTTCCCGCACTCCACTAGCCTAAATCGGGCGTATGGCCCGGCCCTGCGACAAAATTGCGGGAACCATCGAAACAGTCTTCCACGACCTTCTAAGAGAGATTACCAGCCGGGTTGAAAATTCGTTCTTATACTCATACTCATACTCTAAACTATTGCCTTTATTATTTTTGTATAAAAAATCCTAGTTGTGGTTCTGTTTGCCGATTTAGTAGCATTTTAGTAGGATTTTCATGTTTGACTAGTATACTATGCGACTTGAAAAAAATAACGGTCCGTTTTTTGTTTTTTTAGGTTTTTTTTAATTGTTTTTTTTCAAATGGTTTTTTTCATGTTTTAGGTTTTTTTCAAGATTAGTCCCATTTGCCTAATTTTGTATGTTTCCAGTCCAGTTCGTGGACTAAAATTAGCCTCTAAATGACATTTAGTAAATGTAAATACAGTCTCGCGCTTTGCACGCGCCACCACCACCGAATTGACCAATAAGGGCCGCGCTTGTTTTGATTTGGTCCTAAAAAATGTAACTACCTATAATATTTTTTATTTAGCGCTTGATTTTTCAAAAAGCTACCAAAAGCACTTTTTATTCATGATTTTTCAAATTCATGTAGAGTATATAATTTTTTTTTCAAAAAAACAATAGCAAATTCTTGTAGAACATTTATTCATTGGTGGTCAGAACATTCCGTGGACCAAAAAAAAGCCAAAAAAATTTCGAATTTTTTTATAACGGTTTTCGTTAGGATTGAGCTTTGCACGTTTTTCGACCAATACGACCAATTTTAACGAAGATACAGCTATCCGAAAAATCGCAAAAAATTTGGAATTTTTTTTTCATTAGTGTAGAAGTTTTACATTGTTATTGGTTTCTTATGTGGAAACTACCAAATAATAAGAAATCAGATTTTTTAGTCTCGGTCAAAATTTTCAATAATGAAAAATGTAATATATTCTACATTTCACTTTATTATTAATAATATTATGTATAAATACATATTATGTATAAATTTTACTTGAAATTTCATTTTGAAAAATTACTTAATTTTTTAAGATTGATGTTATTTATTGACAGATTATGGTTTATTGCAGCGGATTTGAAAAAAAACCGGTTTTTTTCTAGATTTTTTTTCATGTTTTTTTTAAATCTGAAAAAAAAAACCATTTTTACATCTCTAACTATAGGACGGCTGACAAACAGTTGGCAAAACTGATTATGTCGGAAACAAAACCCTCGGAAAAGTGTACCTAGGATTTGGTTTAGTAGGTCGTTTAAATTTTGTCTTAGGTACTACATTTTAGTATTAAATACTAAATTTTAACTAAATAAATTTTATTAAGATCTTGTTTTTTATTAACTAATAAGCGATATCCGCCCACAGTTTTAAATTTAAAAGCCTAAAGTGTTAAATGTAATTATTATCGAGTGATGCAGCCCTGGTAATATGAAACCATTTTAGATATAATATATTATTGGTTTGTTTTGATCGAGTTTTGATGTATGGTAGGCACGCAACACTATCTAAATTATGTATTAAACATTAGTTAAACTTGACACTACATTACTTTTATAATTACTTTTATAGCAACCTGACTAGATAATTAGACTTATATTAATGTTATTAACTATTAAAAGTCTACAATTTTGTGCACAGTTAAAATATTATCTCCTAATAACTTTTCCTCTGAGAAACTATTTTTTAAATTATTTTTGTTTGGCATGTTATAACTTTTGTTTACCTACTTTAAGAAGTTGTTTAGCTTTAATATTCGAGCTTGATGTTGAAGGCGTAAACTTACCCAATAAGCAGTTTGTATTCTTGAAAAATTTAAAACTTTTTGACGGAATAAATATATAATATAAGTTCAACTTATATGAAAGTATATTTTTAGAATTTTAATCTTAAATTTAATACTTAACATTTTAAAGGTTTCTAATCGATTTTATACTTTTTAACTGGAAAGTGGTACACATGTTAAATGAAAACCTAAAATTCTAGATACGATTTTATTCCCATTACACGTAAATTACTTAGTGCAAATTATATTCCTATGCATTACTATTTTAATAAGTATTTTCAACTATTCAACACCTATACTATTTTGCATGGTGATTTATGTGCATAAAATTGTTTGGAATTTAAAATACAATATAACCAAAGTCTATTTATTTAACAAACCATATACCTATCGTTATAAAATTTTGTATTTGTTTTATAATAAAAATAAAATAATTCCATGTACTAAGCTTCACTCATTGTCATTTGAAACAAATAATTTATGTTATCTATCTGTCAGTTTAATGCTAATTTCGTCTTATTTAAAAAAAATATATATGTAATTTTTGTGTCCTAAATTAAAAATGTTTAAAAAATAAGACGAAAGTAGCATCAAACTGACAGAAGCGTTATATTCCACAGATTTCCTATAAATTATTTCAATAATTCATTTCCAAACTTGAGAACCTATCGTTATAAAATTTTGTATTTGTTTTATAATAAAAATAAAATAATTCCATGTACTAAGCTTCACTCATTGTCATTTGAAACAAATAATTTATGTTATCTATCTGTCAGTTTAATGCTAATTTCGTCTTATTTAAAAAAAATATATATGTAATTTTTGTGTCCTAAATTAAAAATGTTTAAAAAATAAGACGAAAGTAGCATCAAACTGACAGAAGCGTTATATTCCACAGATTTCCTATAAATTATTTCAATAATTCATTTCCAAACTTGAGAAACTATAGGATTATATTGATAGCTTAAAAATTAATTATTATAGTTTATTTTTTATGGAAATCTCATGAGCAAGCACAAAATACAAAATACACTATGGCGTATGAAAACAGTTGAAACTATTTTCTTGGAATCTGTGCTAAAAAAAATTGAAATTATTTGTAAATGTGTCTGATGCCTCACAAAATCATATATTAAATTTTGAAGGCATTCTATGGAAATGCTTCCATTGAAGTTACTACCTTAGGAAGTCCAAGAAATTTAAACATTTTTCATTGAAATAAAACTAATAAGTCTAGAAAGAGTTCGTATTTGTACTAGTTCAAAAGTCAAATTATTATACACCGGATACAATAATGAAGTTATAAAATGCAGGGCTCCCACATAGAGATTCAAAATTTCCGGAAAAAAACTTTTTTCCTGGAAAAATTGGAAAAAAACGGAAATTTTGGGATAAAAACAAAATTGGCTAAATATTTTTTATTAAATATCTATATTACAACCAAAAAAGTATTATAATGAACTGCCAAACATATTTTTACTTTTTAATAGTAAACCTCCAATTTGGTTACTTTGTTATTAAAATAATGTAGTAAAATATATTGAAAAAAAATTTAATAAAAATAAACATTTACTATTAAATATTTAATTAATTAATATTATTGTTTATTATAATTATAATTATAAATGTTAAAACTTTATTTTAATAAAATATGTTAAAAGCTATTATACAAAGTTTTTATTTATACTATATTATCTCATCTATTTATCACTTACGGTGGTCTAGTGGTTAGTGCTGCTGACTACAAGCCGGAGGTCGTGGGCTGGAATCCGAGGGGTCAACCACCCAAAGGGAAAACGTCCAGGGATTCCCATGTATTCCCATTATATTTCATTGTATTCCTATGTATTCCTATGGTATTCCCCCTCTAAAATGTCCAGGGATTCCCAGGTGTGGGTGACCCCTCGCTGGAATCCGACCAGGGGTATGGCTGTTTATTTGTGTTGTCTTATTGTGTAATAGTCCTTCGGAGGGGACTTTAAGCCTGCGGTCCGTTCCTACCCCTAACCCGCACAAGCCATTCAGTTGGCTTATGGGACTTCTTAAGAAGTAAGGGTGGAACTAAAAGAGCACTTTTGTATTTAAATATAAGTTTTAGAACAAAACTACATAATTAATATATATTATTTAATTAATAATGAATTTTTTTTTGAAAAAAATTAAAAAAATATGTTTAAAAATTATTTGAAATTTTAACACCCTTCTTTAAAACTATTAAACTCGTTAAATGTTTATAGATCATTTTAGCAATTTTCGCAATTTCCTTTTTGGCAACATTGTGGTTCCACCATTTTGTAAAGGCAAAAATATAAAAAATAATAGGTTTAGCAACTTTTAAATAACAAATATATTTTACCATGTGGGCACATAGTGCGGCGCGCCGGAATTCAGCAGGAAAACGTGTTTTGTTGCCATATTTAAAATTGCAACACCACCATTTGATTACCTAATCGTTTCGATATTAATTTTTATTTTAAATCTTATCTTTTACATAAATGTAATAAATGAAAGGCTTGTTTATTTGTGGTCTGACTTAATCACGAGTAAAATTAAAAGTTGAATCATTGCTTTCTATAGTGGGATGTAAAAATAAAAATAAATTATTTGGGGAGAATTTTGCAAATATTGAAATAAAATTTAAAGGGAAAGAGAGCTTCTTTTTATCGTGCAATCCATACCATTTTTTATAAAACAAGTAAGTTGCACACGCAGTGTTTGCAAGTGGCGCAAATTCGACTGAATAATTTTTTATAACAGTATCATATAAAGCTGGTTGGATTGCATAAATAATTAAAGGGTCCAATGCAATAATTAGCCAAGTCCATGACAGTAAAATGTACAGGAGAACAAAAAGTTTAGGACATTCCATGTAGATAAAAACAAAGAGCCCAAGACTTTGCCAAGGTTGGCAGATTACTATTGGGTCAAGACTGCCCTATTAAAAATGCCCTATAGAACCCATATTGATCCAGATAAGGAAACTAATATGGATTTATATGGTTCTATATGTCCTATATGGAACTACCTGGTTTACACGTTGGAATCTATATGGTTTAATATGGAATTTCATTTTAAAAAGTACAACTTAGGGATTTTTATATGGATTTATCTGGTTTATGTTTTATGTGTCTTTTCATATAGGTTTCCCTATATGGTTAAATATGGATATATATGGATATATGATAATTTTTTTCATACCCAAACCATATTGGGCCAGATAGAGCTCCAATATGGTTAAATCTCAACCTATATACAGACTGTATAGAATCAAGTAAGTAAGGCTGGAGACAAGGATGACAAATTATATTCTGATCAGAGAAAAAGAAACAAACGTTAATTGGGCGTGGTTTAAACCAAGCCATTCGTAATTACGAACTATAGTTGCCAGGTTGTTTTAAATCAGAAGAAAACGATTATAATTATTTAATAAATAGTTCAATTTTATTTGTTTGAAACTTTAAAAATAACAATAAAATTTAAATTTAGTTAATTTTCTTACTTTTAATATTAAAAAATATGAAAAACAACCATTTAGGAAACAATAATAGCATATGGCAACAGCGCGGCATGCAGTTTGATCTACTGTGTTTGTTCAGTAGTTCCGACGCTGTCGTAGGGAAATGTGTATAGTTTTTAAGAAATACATTTTCGCCATTAACTGGAATTTAATGGATTTTAAACAATACTTAGTTTTTATTTGCAGAAATGCATTAAAACAAAACAAACGAATTCGATAAAAATAAAACCTATAAATTCTTAAACAAAAATAATTCTAAAATTCAATCCCTACCACAGTGGGCGGGGTTTGGCACTTGTTTTATTTAAGTGTATCTATTCGTTTTAATGCACACTCTATATGGCAATCCATATAGAAATCACTTTTCTATATGGTTTTTCATGTATGGAATTCTATCTGGTTCAATAGTGCAATGCCTGTTTCAAATTCCTATATTGAACCAGATAGAACCAAATGGATTTTTATTTTGTGTTTCTATATGGCATTTTTAATAGGGTGGTAATAAACCTCTGGGCCAGGACAATATATAGAGGCCCTGGCAAATGTTGGGTGGTAAGAACAGACCAAAGGTTGAAAGTCTTGAAAGTCTGGCTGAAGCTTGGAAGTCAAGACTCGGTTTTGAAAGCCTTGCTGAAGCTTGGTCAGAGACTTGGAAGTCAAGGGGCGGTCTTGAAAGTCTGGCTAAAGCTTGGTCAGAGACTTGGAAGACTCGGTTTTAAAAGCTTGGTCAAAGATTTGGCAGCCAAAACTCGGTTATCAGTCTTGGCATTTCCTACATGGGATGACTCGTTATTGCAACGTATTTTATGGTAGGATAAACAAAACACCTGTTGTGTTGTTTATTCCATAGATAAAGCCCATATTTTATATAAAATTAATATATATATTTTCAGGTATCATGAGGAAATCAAGGATCTCGACCAAATGCACGGGCCTCTTCTACAGAAACTCCTCATCAAAAACAAACGTTTCCAAAACTCGAACGTTTCATCCATTAATACCACCTCCACCACGACTACCACAACTACAACGAAAAGAACCATCGTCACCAACCTAAATTACATCGTTACCCACCCGCCCATTTCCATGGAGAGCATAAATACGACCATCATATCTTCTGACGCTACGGAGTTGAATAACATCACTACCGTAGAGCGTAAAGTAACGACTACGTTGTCACCGCTTTGCCCAGACGTTACATCGAATTTAGGTGAGTTTTTACGTACGTTTTTGTACGACCATGCTATTTTAAATGATTTACCGGTTTAATAATTGACGCGTTTCTCGGAAAAACATCATTATACTACATACTATAGTAGTATAGTATAATGATGTTTTTCCGAGAAACGCGTCAATTATTAAACCGGTAAATCATTTAAAATAGCATGGTCGGACTATATATAGTCCAAAATTAACATATTTGGGAAACCTATTTACTACATGTAAAAAAAATGTAAGATAATTCGTCCAGAACTCCTCATGTTTGTTTTTTCAAACCAATATGAAAAAAAACACAAAAAATACATGAACATGTGAGGTTTTTAGAAGAAAAAAACAAAATATTAACTCTGAGTAATAAAATAAAATGAAACAACTAAAAACTGTATTACTGCCACACTCAGTCTTCGCATCCACTGCTGTTATCATCGTTGTCGACCGTGTTATCAGGACTGTCAGGTGCTATGGTCTTCTGGTCTTTTATCAAGTTATCATACAATTTTCTAATGCTGTGGTCATGTAAAAGAGGTAGAAGCTTTTCTAGAGTGTCCAAAAATGTCACATGCTATGAACATGTGACTTTCTTAGACGAAACAGAGTGGACTTGTGATGTTTTTAGAAGAACAAGCTAAATTTCATATTTAATTATTATGGAAACTATGACATTTTTACGAGAAATACTTATTTGTATACGTATATATGGAGGTTAGGAAACAGTTGGTGCAAATATCTAAATTTCGACGATATTGGACTAATGATGTTTTTCCGAGAAACGCCTCAATTGTTTGCAATACTCTACAAGCTGTTTTTAGGGCTAAACATTTTATTTATTACTATAGTATAGGTACTGAGTCTGTGTGACAGATTTTATTTTAATGACAGATTCCGTGGTATTTTCGCGGGAATAATGCAGGTAGAACTATAATAATGTTTTGATTGGCTAAAATATACACACAAGACTAAAATTGAAAGTTTCTTTCTATTGGTTTTTAAAAACGTCAAAAAATAATCGTAATAATTTACAGTAAAATGCACAGTTTGCGAAATATTTGAAAAAAAGTGAAAAAAACAAAATTTTTATTTTAACAAACTATATTTTTTTACTTACTATTTATATGAACAAAAAAAATAATAATAGATATTCATTAAAAACTGAAAAAAAATATTTTTGCGTATATCTTTATAAAAAAAATTGTCAGGTGGTGCAAATTTGGTTTTATGCTTTTCAAATAAGCCCCTATCAATTTATGAAAAAAAAACCCTGACAGTGCCTCAGCACGAAGGGTCAAACAACGGTTTAACTGGACTAAATTATTATAATTATTCTTGCAATCGTTTTTAACTTGACATTTAAAATTTCCCAAATTTTCTAATAATTTTTAAAATCAATGTAAATTTTTAATAATTTAACGATAATCTGAACTATTTTTATTTAGTATACATATATTTTCCATTTTGCGAATATTTTTCGGCTTCAATGTTAAAAATTATTCATAAATTTCACAAAATTTCCAAAGGTTTTTAATAATTATTTAAATCAATTTAAGTTTTAAATAACTTCAAACATCAAAATAACATATTGTAGTGAGCGGGGGCAACAATTTTTTTTAACGTTTTGGTTATTTAGTGGGTCGCGACACTAAAAAGGTTAAAAAACAATGTTTTAGACCAAAATAAGTTTCCTTATACTATAGTACCATGTTGCTTATCCTGTTTACTAACATTTTTATTTGTTTTGGTGTATTCCAAATGGGTTTTGTATTATTATGATTTTTTTTGTTAGTGCAGTATTTTAATGTTTTTAAAGTACATATTTAAAGTATAGCGAAAAAAATTCTTTTTTGTATTTTTTTAAAGATTACTTTCCCTTTATACAGAAATACATACTATACAACTAATACCAAACAAATATATTTGTATTTAAGGCAAATAATTCCAAATAGTGTCAAAGGAATTAATGAATATTAAAGCTTTTAGTGGCCTTTTAATTAGCCTTAATGGGAATTAGTAATTTCCATTTCGCTTCATATCATATTCTCGGTTTGTATGCAAAACATTTCGGAGGAAATGATATTTAAGAGAATACAAAATTAAAAATCCATATTTAATTTCACAAAATGACTACTTTGTGCCAGTTATGTAAGTTTATTGCTTTTGTATGCCAAGTCAAGACCTATTCTCTTATACTGTAGCGAAGTATTTCCTTTCCAAGGAGACTTGCCGATAAGTGGGTCGTGGGTTTTTAAAGATTTTTATTCCAGAACAACCTTTTTCTACTCCTATTACGGAATATGACCTTTCTAATATCACTTTATAATGTGGAATTACATATATGGGCAAATTTTCGTTAAATGTACATTTGCTGTCCCCAGCTAATTTAATTTTTATTTTTGACCTTTGTTGATAAGTTTTGTATTTATTATATTTAAATACCCCCTTCCTGTTAGGGCCCATCGTATTTTTTTTAATTACTTTGTGTTTCTATATAATATATAGAAACACAAAGTAATTAAAAAAAATACGATGGGTCAAAAAAACTAGGTGAAAACCTAACTGTCCCCAGAGGCGATTTTTTAATTTAAATTATTATATTCTTCTTCTTTGCAGCTTTCTTCTGAAAAAATAAATTATTTTTGAACAATGGAAAGTTATTTTATTCGTATATAAAAATAAAATTGTTTTCTACAAAGTAGTTTAAACAGAAAAAAATATTAAAGTTGACATTCAAAAATCTTGTCTTTTTCCTAACGTCGCGACGCGTCGTCTTCTATGCCGACTGCTTCGAAATAGAGACACGAGATAGAGATACTATCGTGTTATTTCTAGAGGGCATACATGTTTGATAATTCGGCAACAACAAATGAGCACGTGTAAAGTGTGTGAATTTTGTTGTAAATATTTTAAAGGTAAGATTTTTTTGCGTACACTTTTAGTGTCTTTTACAAAACGCTACATACAACTCTTGTTTTAGAAGTTAAATTTTTTATTTTAATTTTGTATTATAGTATAGTAGAAATTCCAAACAAATGCCGAAAGATATTTACATTTAACAGTATTTCTGAAAAATAACGCTTGAAAAAGTCAAAAGCAATGTGTCATAAAACGTTCAGGAAGATGTGTTAGGGAGAGGACAATGTTTCATTTCTTCCTTGTGTTCCTTCCCTATATCAGATTAACCCTATAAGTTTTATTTCTTTAAAGTTTATTTTTGTTATTAATAAACTTATAGAATTTTTTTGCAGTATATTACACTGTTCTATCACAAAGGAAAAAAATCGATCAAATTGACCTGCCTGGACAAAATATATAAACAAAATGTACATTTAACGAAAATTCGCCCATATTTCTTAAAGTGTTACAGAATTAATTATTTTATCACCGGATGAAAAACACTGGTGGCGACATCTCTGTACTTATTATATTACAACTTTTAGACCGATCCAACCTCACTTTCTCCCAATTAACATATGTTCTATGTTTTTTTTTGGAAACGTATAAAAAGTATAGAGTATAGTCTGAAACACATTTGGATTTGCATACCTATTCCGCTATCGTGAAACCGTCAAACTAGCCTTCGGCTTGTGTGACAAACTTTTCACTAGAGCGAAATATTCCGTATTCCAAACAGAATACACCGAATATACTGAATATTATTGTTGTAATACACATTTTAACATAGATTGGCAACAGTCCTTGATTTTAAAGTAATAAATAAGGTAAACATACAAAAATATATAAAGTAAGTCACCTGTTTCACCAGATAACTTTTCGTTTAACAAAACTCCCCCCTTTTATTTTTAGAACCATTAGGTTAGGAATTGGACATTTTAGGATAACTAAACATACTACTTTTTGACAATAAAAATTTGATTTTTTAATGGCGCTTTACTGTCAGAAGCTTACATGTTTTCCAATTGGAAGTGGGGTTATGTGACACATTATCCTGTATACCAAGAACACTATATTATATCAAGAATACACTCTATAATAGAGTGTTCTTGCTGTATACATTTAGACCTTTCAAATGGCAGGTCACATGACCCACTTTGTATTTTTTTATATGTACGACGCCTTTTTTTAAATCCATGTCAAAAAGTGTTATCTAAAGTTAGGTTTAAAATGCTAGAATTCCACATTTGCAAAATAAAATTGTTAAATGTTGAAAAGTGTACTTGTAAAATGCGAATTTTTGTTATAATTTCGTTTATCGGTTTCGGTTATAATCAACTTGCAAAGACTTTTTCAACGATGAACGTACCTTTTGAAAAAATGTAACCTTTTCAGCCATTTTAAAATTTAATAAAAAAATGTTGTTCCTAACCCACAGGTTCTAAAAATAAAACTACTATGTAGATATAATCTAGCTTAAGTTGACATGATATTATCTTGTTAAAAGGGTCTACAAAAGATACAAGATTTACGAAAAAAGGGAACTTAGCGTCCCAGCGGTAATTTTAGAGGAGAAAGGAAAGATCAGGCGAGCGCAGGGTGTAATATAAAGGTTAGAAAAAAATTTAAATTAACAGAGAATGTTTAATGCGTTGTTACATAAAAAATATTTAAATAATTAAAGAGTAGTCTTAAACTCATCTACGGATATTTTATCCCATTCTGCTGACAATGATTTCTTTAGGGCCTCAACAGTAGGTTTACTAAGTAAGGATGCCAAGATATATCTTTTGTTATTTAGGAAATTACAATTAACATTAGCTTCACTTTACAAATAATTATGGTGTGTAATGAACCTCGCTCCTCGACGAAATCCTTATGCCACTTTCACGAGAAATTGTCCTACTAATAATCTTGAATTCCGGGATAATCTGTTTGGTTTAAGGCTGTTCTGATGGTGCGTTTTCTTGCTCGTCCAGGCCGGTCCCAGTATGACCGTTGGTCATTGATCAAATACATGGACAAAAAACAAAGTAACCATTGATTACAGAACATAAACAATTAATGCGCAGAAAATTAATCAACTTAATATTCATACATATAATTTATAATAAAACATTACGAGTTACTTTGACAACAGCAGTAGTTAGTTTTGTGACACAATGAGTAGTGTCAGGATCAATATTCTGCAATTGAAAATAAGTGGTTATTGTTTTATTTTATTTGTGTATCGCTTGACCGCATCAGATACGGTCTGTTTGGGAACATTGAGTATTCTTACAATATCGCACTGACAATTACCGGCTTAAAGTAGCTCAATAACTACTAGCAATGTATACTAGACTGGGCCAAAAAAATCGACTATTTTTTTTTTTGGAAATTATATCGAAAATATTGTTTGGGGTGACAAAAAAAATTATGGTGAAAGTTTGAGTCAATAATATTAATATTAAGAGGTCTATCATCGCAATTTTAGATTTTTTTCCTGAGAGAGTTTTTGTCTCAGAACTCCCAAATCATTGAGTTTAACAAAATTGACTTAAGAATATTTTTTGAAGAATGCTCTACAAAAAAGGTTTGATTGGAATTTTCCGTCAGATGAACCCTTTTCTTACAATCATGCCTTAAAAATTGGTATAGTTTTACAGTTTGGAATTTTGTAATTCAAGTAAAAATCAGTACCCTGAAAAAAAAAACGATAAATATTTTTATGGGAAATCAAATGCCATACAAAAAAGTCTTTTTTCATTTTTGGCTAAATTCACCCCATCAAAAGTTATTCAAGGTTAAATTTGAAGTCAAAACGAAATTTTAACCTTGAATAACTTTTGATTGAGTGAATTTAGCCAAAAATGTTAAGATGCTTTTTTTGTAAAGCATTTGATTTCCCATAAGAATTTTTATCGGTTTTCTATGGGTACTGATTTTTACATGAATTACAAAATTCCAATTTAAAAGATCAAAATGTTAAACTATACTAATTTTTGATGATTTTAAGGAAACGGTTCATCTGAGGAAAAATTTCACTTTAAACTTTTTTGTAAAGCATTTAATTTTCTTAAAAAAAAATATTTTCAAGTAAATTTTGTTAAACTCAATGATTTGGGAGTTCTGAGCCTAAAACTTGCTGAGGAAAAAAAATTAAAATTGCGATGATAGACCTCTTAATAATAATATTATGGACTCAAACTTTCACAATAATTTTTTTTGTCACCCCAAACCATATTTTCGATATAATTTTCAAAAAAAAAATAGTTGATTTTTTTGTCCCAGTCTAATGTATACTATAGTAGCAGTAAAATACTCATTTTTTTCTTTGACAATAGCTAAATTATATGACTTGTAAACTTGTAACCATGAAAACTTCTGAAAAAGTTATAATATCATATTATGGACGTTGTGTTCTGATTGTTCCTTATTAATAAAAAAATTCTATTAGCGACTCGTTGGTATTTTTATTTATTTAGGCGCACTCCGTAAAACGAATTATTTACCAATATTTATGTTTAAATTTTTTTTTTCAGTTGGAAAGGTTCCTATAGTAAAATCGCCCGTCCCGAGCGTGAACGTCTTAGAATCCCGCTTTTTATCGTGGCTAAAACCGGGCGGTCACTGGCAACCGCCCGACTGCAAGGTGGAAAAATCCGTGGCCGTCGTCATACCGTTCAGGAACCGAGGCATGCACCTGCTGCTGTTCCTGCAGCACATGCATCCGTTCCTGCGACGCCAGCAGCTGGACTACACGATCTTCGTGGTCGAGCAGGACGGGAACGGAACCTTCAACAGGGCTATGCTGATGAACATTGGATACGCGGAGGCGTTGAAACGCAGGAAATTCGATTGTTTTATTTTTCACGATATTGATCTTCTTCCTGAAGATGATAGGTGAGTGGCAAACATGTTTTAAATCCGCTTTTTGCTATCGTGCTTTTTTACCATAAATTATCATTTTAATTTTTAAAAGCAATCTCGTGACAAAAACTTTTGTATTATCCTATAAATAACCATAAAATAAATCCAGATGGGAAAAAAAAATATAAATTTGTGACAAATTTAAAACGTCTCCTGAGGAAGTTTCAAAGAATATTCATAAATAATCCCCATGCTGGCTGCGGTTGTCTCTTTTATCATTTTTTTGATATCACGCCCGAAGAAAAAGTATTCTGATGCCATGGCATGTAATCGGCGTAAAATACTAAAACCGTTGAGTAAGTTCTCATTTACCAATGTCTTGTCTTCTTGGATCCAGTAGTTGACCGGTACTTGTAAACTTATCTACTAATACTGCCACAATGGTAGTCCATAATGTTTGAAGATTTGAAACAAATAACAAAAATACTATAACTCCTGTCGACTTTTTTAAATTTTTTTAAAGTAAAATCGGTTAAATCTTTCAATACAAATAACATTATCCAAATGTGAACCATCGCGTTGCAATTTGCTTGGAAACTCTTCAAAAATTAACCAAAGATTAATTGAATTGTGTTATGCAACACGGAACCACCCCTCACTGTTGCAAAACTAAGAAAAAATTACGTGGTTCCTTCATTACCTGTGGTCTTAATTATAGATTCAACGTTTTAATTGTATTTCCAAATCGCTAATTTAGTACCTACTAAATTTTTATTTCTTATAATATTTTTTTCATTATTTTCAATAAAATAAGTAAATTTGTTGGTTGGTCCCTTGTAGAATAAATAAAACTGATAGTTATTGCCTATGGTTTTATTATAACTTGGAAACAATCATTTGGAATAAGTTGATAAATAGATTTTAAATCGTTTAATTTTAGCTTTGAGATCCTCCTGATATTCTCATATTTTTTTTTGGAAATATTGATTTTGTCATATAAAACCATTGGTTCATTTTTTCCAACATTTCAACTTAAACCAGATCCAAGTAGCATGGATCCTTGTTGCAGTATAAATATATTGCGTTTAGTCAAAAGTAACGTGAACCAATTTTTTCTTATTAATAGTTTAATATATGGCTTTGTCCATTTTTCTGGTAGTGTAAAACACTATTTATAGTGTTAAATGTTAAACAAAGTTATTTCATAAACATTTATCTAAACCATTATAACTTATTAAAAAATTCAAGGATTATTTTGTTACCAAACAAATTTTCTTTTATTGCAAATACAAACATACAAAGTTAAAATTCGTCTAAGGTATCTTAGGAATTTCATAAAGTTGAGCGTTTTGAATAAATTATAAAAATAAATATAAATTTTATATATTTTGTTGAAGTTATTTTCAAGTAAACATTCGAAAAAATCTGTTTATGCAAATAACATTATAGGTGTAAACCATCACTTTGCAAATTGTACCTAAAATTTATCGATATGTTTTATTTGTATATTTTTTTGCCAAGATACACAAAAAAGTATAAAAATAATAAATATGCTAATTCAGTTTCCAAGTGTAAACACGTGTTTACTTGGCGATTCTTCCTTAAATTAGTTTTATGAAACAGCGAATGCTACAAAAGCACACAACAAATTATTTCGTTTATTATGGAGCGCCAATCTGGAAATTTGACTTCAGCTGAATGTGCCCGGGCCGTACTTTTACCAAAGAATTTAATGTGAATCATACAACCATTTCACGGGTACTACAAAGCTTAGATACAGGAGATCATGACCGCAGAGTAGAACAAGGACGAAATCGAGTCCCAGCACTAAATCAGGATTGTTTTTTTTCAGAGGAATATGAAACATTTTATAGTTATTAATATTAGAATTATTTCAATCTTTTAAGGTATATACATATATATAGGGATATTTCAGAGGATATTTAATAGAAAGGTCAACAGCTACTGCAGTGTTTAGTTTTGTAGATAAAATTCTTAAAACCTTTAAACAAACTTAATTTATTAGAAGCATATGACTGCCTAGATCACTATCTGCTATTACAAAAGTTACATACTTATAGAGTACGAGGACAAGCATTGCTGTGGTTGTCGTCCTACGTCTCAAATCGTAGTCAAAAAATAACTCAACTCAGAAATCAAGTTTTGTCAAACAGCCAAATCATTAAGGTTGAAATTCCTCAAGGAAGTATTTTGGGCCCAATATTATTTGCAAAATTTATTAATGACCTTGTCAACACAGTAACTTCGGGCCCATGTAGTCTGATAAACTATGCTGATGATACCAATCTGTTAATTAAAGCAACAACACTTAAAGAACTAATTCCATTGGCATCTGGGGTTGTTGGAAATGTGGAAAATTGGTTCAAAAGAAACAAATTAATTATAAATAAAGATAAAACCAACTGTCTCATTTTCACAACTAAACACAATCTTTAATGGAAAGTCCGGGTGAAATAAGCCTAAATGGAAAAATATTGAGGTATCCAAAAAATACAAAATTTCTTGGAATAACTATAGATGCAACCTTTAGCTGGAGTGAGCATATAAATGTGTTTAAAACTGAATAAAATTCTTTATGGCACTTGAGTTATGGAGAAATACTTGGACTTAACAAGCCAATGAGTCAGAACCAGAAAAAAATTTCTTTATTACTTTGTAAAATGTGAAAATAAAGGCTATTATTATTATTATTATTGTTATTATTATTATAATAAAAATCTTCTTCATTAAACTCCTTAAATGCTTTTCCCATGTTTGCACGAATCTCGTGATCGGCTGCCGCCCCAAAGCTTGGACGCACAGATAAACATACTTTCCCAATTTTTGCCACTGCGTATTTATACTCAAAATAAACATTTTTTTATTAATTCCAGAAACTTGTATACCTGCCCGGAGCAACCCAGACACATGAGCGTAGCAGTGGATGTCTTTAAATATCGTTTGCCCTACCCGGCAATTTTCGGCGGAGTTTCCGCCATAAACACCGAACAATTTAAACTGCTTAATGGTTTTTCCAACGCTTTTTGGGGTTGGGGAGGCGAGGACGACGATATGTCCAACAGGATTAGGTACCATCACCTTTTTATATCAAGATACCCAATATCTATTGCCAGGTATACCATGCTGACGCACAAAAAGGAAAAAGCCAGTCCTAATAGGTAAGAAACAGAGAGTTTTTTCCCAAATTAAAAAGTGGTTGACTCAGCAGTTTTCAGTTGGTTAAACTTTGTCTAATGTTACAATATTAAATTTTTATACCTGAAAAACGAAAGCTGTTTAGCGATGAAGTCAATGAAAGTAAAAGGAGAAAGCAAAACTATACTTTTACAAAGCAAGTCGAGTTATAATAATTATCACAACTGATCGGGCGTATTTTCTCTAATTATTTTTAAGGAAAATGCTGTCAACAACTTTTTATTTTATCTCCAAAAATTGATAGTAATTAAATCCTACAAAATATATCTTAATATAACTATTATATTTTAGATATGAAGTGCTAAAACAGGGGCAAAAGCGTTTTGACAAGGATGGCTTAAATAGTTTAAAATACAAAGTGGTCATGTCTAGGGACAAGTTGCTTTACACATGGGTGCTTGTGGCTTTAGAGGGAGCCCCTAGCTGATACCGTTTTTTAGTCTGACATGTAAATAAAGTAAAATCTAAGAAAACGTTCTTGTAGATAGTACTCAGAAATAATTTATTTTAATTAGTTTAACTTATTTTCAAAGTTCCTTTAGATTGAGCGAAACGCACCAAAGTGTTGCACATCATATTTTAAGCACAACGAGATGTTTTAAGGACCTAACTTTTAATTCTTGTTGCCAAACAAATAAATGTTTAATTTATTTTGTTATCAAATTTGATATTATTCACTTGTTAATTAGTAGGTACTTAATAAGGTATCCTATAAGCAGGCAGAAATACGAGAACAATTTTTTTTACGAATGTATAGTTTTAGGATTACTTATGTGTAACAACTTTCATGGAACATACTGTATATAAAAGCAAATTCATTTTGTCGGTTCTAGTCATATTTTTTGTAACATATGATACCTAAATAATAAACATACCTAAATAATAAAAAGGAAATCTGTAACTTCCTAAGTGAGATATAGAATTAAAACTAGAGTAGGTGCCAAAATGTACCAATTTTCTTAAATCAACTTATTTAAAAAATTAGTAATTATTTTGGTCATGACCAAACAGTTATGTTTAAATTTTAAAAAGAACATTGCTTAAAAATAACGCAAAAAATAAAATTAAAACTGTTATATTTATTTGCTAGTAGTAGTTTTTTTTGGTTTCAGAAACGCTAAAATCAATAAATAATGTAAACCTTTAAAAATGTGATATAAAATAAACGATTTTTACAAATAAAAATGCTTTTATTTACTCCTTATAGTTTTTACATTTTTTGTAAAAATTCCTCAAAACACATTCTTAACTTTAGCTTTCCAGAGCAGTCAACTGTCAATAAAACCACATATGGCAAAAAGTAGGCAAAGTTGGGTAATTTTTTCTCAAAACTAATGGCCATTGCAAAAAGGACCTTCACAAAGGTGGATTTCGGATTTGGATGTTCTCAAATTTATAACGCGTGAGATTAAACTGAGTTGATCCGAGTTCAAGAAAAAAAATGTACTTAAGTAAAAAATGCAAAAAGTAAAGTATCTGCTGCTAAATATCTGGTTTTTGCACAATTTTTGTTTGTGGGTTTTTGCGATGCTGTCGAATATCCGACATATAACATCTGTTTTTTTGTTTAACTTTTTGTTTTTGCGTTCGGTAAGGTTCGAATTACTTTTCAGTGTTCAAATTATTGATATTGCGCTGTGTTAACTATTGTTTTCTTTTAATTAATTTTCTTTTAATAATAAAATTTAGATTTAAATAGTATCAATTATTTTTCCAACGCATCTAGCATCCATATTAATAAACTATCTTTAATATAAAATTTACAAAAAAACGCACTATGTCCAGATATTTCTTTATATTCTTTGATAATATTGCTAGCATTCATATTAATAAACTATTTTCAATATCAAATTTACAATAAAAAATAGATTTAAATATGTGGTATCAAATATTATAACACTTTTTTCAATATCAATTTTTAATATTGCCTTGAAGACTATTTAAAATGATTTTCATAATTTTGGCCATAATCAAAAAAGACATGTTTAAAAAAACACTAAGAATAAAAACTGTTACTATAGTAACAGTTTTTATTCTTAGTTACTATTTAATAATGGTTTTAACCTTTTTAAAACCAAAACTTTTACCTACCAATAAATATACCAACAGTATTATATATATATAATACTGTTGGTATATTTATTGGTAGGTAAAAGTTTTGGTTTTAAAAAGGTTAAAACTATTATTAAATAGTAACTTAAAAAACAGGATATAAAATAAACGAATTTTACAAATAAAAAGCTTTTATTTACTCCTCATGTTCACTTATTAACTCTTTTACCATCTGAACGGGATTTCTATACAAAAATCGCTTAACGTCTTTAAATAAATCTTGAAAATCATCGCAAAATAAAAACTCGTGACACAAGACTTTATCGCTGAATTCGGGGTTCTTACATTTTTCGTAAATATTCTCTATTAGTTCCCTAAAGGATTCATCGTCTACATTCCTAACTTTAGCATTCCAAGGTAAAGTCATGGTGATAGCTGATAATAAAACTTCGAATGGCAAAAAGTAGGCAAAGTTTGGCACCATTTTATCCTCAAAACCTATGGCAACATTGGAAAAAGTATCTTCGCAAGGGTTATGTTGTTTCATAGTTTGTCTAATGTACTCCTCAATTTTTTCAGCTATTGGTAGAGCACTATCAGGAACTAGGTTTAAATCCAAAATACTCTGAGAAGTTTGCGAGTCGTAATCTTCAATAACAACACTGTCACATTGATGAACTGTGATATCTATAAGCTCGGTCACAATTTCATCTGCCATTTTATAATTCTCTTCTATTTCTAAATCGCGTTCCTTAACCTCTAACTCGTGTTGTTCGCGATTCTCCAAGGCAATTTTTATAAACTTTTCACCTATGGTTTTACTCCAACATACAACTTTCCCCATGCAAACTGAAAGCGCTTTGGAAAATCCTACTGTAATGTTTTCGTCCTTCGATATGTCCAAGAGGAACGCTGTGTAGTTCAAACGATCACCTTTTATACGGTACAACTTGTAGATTATATCTTTAATACCTCTACTTCGTAAAGGTTTCTTATCATTTTCTGATTCAAACCAAAGTTTGACAGAGTAGAATTGGTAATCATAGATATACTCATTAGCATCTGGGTCTAACTCTCTATACTCGTATCTTAGTTGTACCAATTCTTCTATGGTTGGAAAACCTACCATAAAGTTTAAAATAACAAAATCTTTCCATGGTACATACTCTATTGGGTCAAATATCAGTTTAGACATCTTATCAATATCACAGGGCTTTAAATATGACCACAATATAGGTACTAAAACCGAATCATCTTCAGGGGAACAAGTAATCATGTCTTGTATCAAATAACAAAATGATCTTTCAACAATGTATCCTGAAGGTCCAATATCAAACATTATCATAACTAATCTATCTAGCTGATCAAAAGAGAAAATATTTTCATCTAACTCTTCTTGATAAGGTTCGGGAATTATCACAGGATCTGGGAACAACAAATGCAAAGGCTTCATACACACTTCCTCACCATCCAGAATTAACTCTTCTTGTATTGGTTGTTCCTCTTCGACAGCTCTAGAAAATATTTTCCATACAGTATCGACAGCTTCAGTTTCTCGATAGTAGCGTTCTTTAATATCTTGGTAAACTTGATGAAAAGTTGATCGCGTAGCACCTAAAATGCCTTCAAGTTTTGAACAACCCTCTGCTTTTAGTAGATTTAATCTTATTTGGACTCTTAATAATTCTCCTTCTAACGCACGATCCCATTCCTGAGTTATTCTATCATAATTATCTATTACAGTTTGTTCTGGTTCAAATATCGTCAGGATGTTTATTTTTTCTACAATTATTTTATATAATATTTAATACCTTTTACATTGGTGGTATGTACAAACTTACCAACTTTTCCAGGTTTTCCTTTTGAAGATTTACCGGATTTTTTTGAAGATTTACCGGACTTTTTTGATGATTTACCAGACTTTTTTGAAGATTTACCAGACTTTTTGGAAGATTTACCGGATTTTTTGCCACCCTTAGATTTCCCCTTTCTAGGAGATTTATTTTTAGCTGCTTTCTTAGGCTTAAATAAAGACTTAATCTTCTCCATAAGACTTCTAGCGTCTTTATTCGTGGCTTCCACTAAACTTAAGGCGTTTGTAAGTTTTTCTTGAAGCATTGTATGAAAAACTGTCTCTTGTAAATCGGATTCTATATTTGTAAAGGTTTCTATAAACTGATTTGTTATGTTTGGTTGTTCGTCTATGTCTTTAGAAGAAGATAGTTTGGTTATTATAGTCTTTTGAAGAATTTTTTCAGTGGGCATTTTCGTTACCATACTTGTATAATAATCATTGATTATCTAAAAATAAATTTAGCAAATTCGTATTATGAACATAAAACTATTATTTTAACCTGCATTGAGTCAACACATCTATCGATTTCGAGTTGAAAAGTGTTGACGTAAATATTACAAAATTCGATGGCTTGTTTTGGTACCCAATTATCAAAAATTAGCTTCTGTCTTTCAGATTCCGAACAGGTCATTATTTCATCACAAATATCATACAGTGATTCTTTTAATTCTTTTATTCGCAAGTGTATTTCAGCTTTAAATTCTTCATCAGTTCTGAAGTCCATATCAAAATCATTGTAAATTCTTTGGAACTCACTTACGTGGTGTTGTTTATTATCTGGTCTATGAATATATTCAGCCATATGGTCTTTAATGTATTGCGTATAAGGCGCTATTAGATCTAATAGAAGTCTTTTAGTAAAGAAAAGTTGCTTGAAATCCTCTATGTAGACTTCCTCGGTATTTTCCCAGATTGTTGCAAAACATGCACCTAACTCTCTTGGGATGTTTATGGAGGCATAAACCCAACCTAAATATAATAAATAAATTATGGGTTTTAAAAATTGATTTAGGTAGATAAACCTTTTTCGCCTGCTTTTGGAGGTATTGGTTCTTCTGGTGGAGGTTCTTCCTCCTCCTCTTCAGGCATTTGCGTTGCTTTATCTTCATGTACAATTATTACCTTCTCCTCACCGCCTTTGCCTTTTTTACCTTTCTTACCCTTTTTTGATTTCTTACTTGATTTATCTTTGCTTTTTTTACTCTTCTTACTACCTTTGTCCTTCTTACTACCTTTATTCTTCTTACTACCTTTATCCTTCTTACTCTTCGTTTCTTCTTTGGATTTAGCTTTTTTCTCTTTCGGCTTCTTAACTTTGTCACCTTTTTTCGAAGATTTATTTTTACCTCCTGGTGAAGAACCAAATTCAGCCTCAATAAATGTAACAGTATCTCCAAAAAGCTCTATAGATGTTTTAGGGGGTATAGTATACTCTCCTATAATCAACTTCCCCAAATACTTAATAGCATTTATGTCTAATTTCTTATAATACATGGAATAATTACAACCCAAGTCGGCATAAAACTGATCCATAGGATCGGGACAATTTTCCAATGCTTCATATGCTGGTGGTAACTCTATTTCGCCAGTTTCTTCGTCTGGCTCTGTTAAAATCATTTTTATGTATGCAGTAAGAAAGGTATCGTATATGGGGGGAATTATTTCTTCTACAGGATTTTCGTAAAGTTTGCTATAACGATATTGTTCGTTTGGGTCATCTGGTAAATCATCGAGACGAAATTCAAAATCACCTTGAAAATTTAAATTATATTTAAGTTAAGAACAAATATTTATTTCTTTGTTCGAATAATAATCTCTGAGCGTTTTTGTTTGCTACGTTTCAATCGAACCAAAACCTTAATATAACCTTTTTTGAAAAAATAATGGCACCCCAACTTAACAAGGATTTATTAGAATAGTAACATAAGGCAGTAGACCATAAACAACAATGTTGAATTCTTTCAAAATATGGGGATGTTAGTTGGCCACTTGGATGATGCGACTTGAGGCTGTAAAGCATAATAATAATCCCCAAACAGTTCAACAATTAAAAAACAAAATTCTTGAAAGAACCGTTGAACTGCATTTTGACTGAAAATGAGAAAAGGCGAAAAACCTTTCGTATGAGAAGGTGTAGCATCTAATTAAGTCCGCTTTATTTTGAAACGGTTACTGGTAAATAAGTGAAAGTGAAAAAAGACAGAAAATAAAAATATAATTTTAACTGTTTAAAGATATACAGTTTTTCTGCATGAAAATATATTGTAGAGAAAAAGTAAACTAACAGACATCCTTTTAGTGAATGGGCATTGACTTAACTGTGACATATTTATAAGCATCTTTAAATTTATGTTAGTTAACGTTTTGTTTCGAAGAAGATTTTAAATTTTGTCGGTCTTTTGTCAAATTTCGTCTGTGTAATAAAAAACCAAATGCGTTATTTCCCAAAATCTCAAGCACAGTAAAATGCAGAATTTCTTTACTATTACGACACGAACACGAGAAATGCACTAAGATGTCAACAAAAGAGTTGTGACTATTAACTATAATACAAAATGTATGTTTTCGTTATCAAGCTATAGTTGTTTTTAATAACAGCACCCGGAAACTAATATTAAACTTTTTAATATGAAACCCTCTACTTAAAGATAAATTTTTATGTTTAGATTTACCTAACTCATTAATGCTCTTCTGGAATTTATATTTGTTGCGGTTCAAACCAGGCACTGGTACCCCTGTTAAGGACTCTTCTAACAAAGCAGCTTTCTCAAAATCCGTAGGATAATTTACCAAAACAAAACCCTGGATGTCTTTATGATTTTCCAAATAGACTATCAGCATTTTAGTAAGAAAATAATCGGTCAATTTTTCTCCTAAATGCAACTGCTCGTCTGCTATTTTTCCCAGCTCTGCTTGAGAAGTTAACTTGATTTCTTCCCCGGGAAATATTTTTGGAGTTTGAATAATTTTTTCAAAGAACTTTGGTTCTTCTGGTAAAGCCTCACCGTCTGTTGAAGATGGACTGGATTTCTTTGATTTTTTAGACTTTTTGTCTAAAATTATAATTTATTAATTTTATAGCTAATTAATTACACAGGTACCTATACATTTTTAAACAGAAAATAGACTATATTTTTTCGAAGATTGTGAATACGTTACTTCAAGATGTATTTTTTTCCCACAAAACTACCCTATCTGAAAGTACCTCTTCAAAATTCTTTTTTCGTTTTTCCTCTTCGAAAAATCGGTTGATAAAATTTATTGGAAAAATTTAAAAAGGATTTTAGTAGAAAGTACTATGAAAGTTCCAGAAAACAATTTCGTGATGTAACAATAAGTTTTTTTCTACTTTTGGTTTAGAATTTCTAAAACGGTAATGGCAATATTCTGAGGTCTCTGACATAAATTGAGAAAAAACCTTAAAACCGTAAAGATATAGTCTGATTTCAACAATAGAGCTGTGTTAAGTAATGGAAATACCTTTTTTCTTTTTCTTGTCTTTTTTATTCTTCTTTTTCTTATCTCCTTTTTTCTTTTTACCCTTACCCTTTCCTGCAATTTTCTCAACTTCTTTATCAGTTTCCTCGATTAAAATTGTATCAGGATATTCAGCCATGGTCTCTTCATTGTGAGCCTCCAAACAAAAATTTACAACGTCGTTGAATTCCAAAACCTTAACCTCCTTAATCTCCAATAATTTTTGCAAAACAGGCAGGGTAGAAGTATCTGTTAAACCGTTTATACAAGCCGCTATTTTAAGATGATCTAAATTCGGTTTAAGGTAAGTATTTTTTGGATATTTTATTGTCAGTAGAGTGTATATTATATTTGCTATTATGTTTGTTCCACAGGCTAGTTTATAATCAGTTTCATCATTACCGAATGTTATTTGATCATACTCAAAGGGGTTGATGTAGTTTTGATAATTCTCAAACTCACATTCATCCAAGGCATCCTGTCTTTCTATTTCCATTTGTATGTACTCAAAGTCTTCCTCCTCATCTTCTCCGCAGCGTATGATGCGCTCTACTGGTGTAATTATATCGAAAATTGGTTTTTCTTTCACAAATAAGCATTTATACTTATCCACGACACGTTTTGGAGCTTCTTCGCCATACCGTTCTTTATGCTCTCCTAGGGCAATAGCAATATCAACCATATCTTTTACAGCGTCCAAGCACATGTTATATACTCTCTCCGCCTTTATTTTTTGCCTGTAATCGTAGATTCTTCGGTGAAGATTATAGTTACGCTCTTTTTCTATATAATACTCCAATTTGTTCTCGTTTACATTCTTATCATACATTACGAGATTATCGATGAAGTTCTTATCGCGCTTTTCTTGTAAACCCGTGTTTACCAATTGTTTATTCTTAATTATCATATCTTTCTGTAATTTTACATCTGCTATCATCTGAGTTAACTTCTTTTCGTAAACTGACTGTTGAAGAAGCTTTTCGTCTATTATTGAAGCATCGTTTTTCTTTGAGTTTTCTTCCAAATCCCCTTTTAACTTACTTAGCGCCATTGACTCCATTATTTTTTTTAATTGGGTGTTTTCGCTTGCTTCCTTGTGCTTCTTTTTGTATTTTTTTACTATATTTTGTGCTACAATGATGTCAGGTACAATAGGTTTTATTTTTTCAGATTTAAGTTTCTGTTTTATCAAATCGCAGAAACTTTCATGCATGGATTCGACTTCCACGCATTCTGAGGCACTTGATAGGGCAGATTCATATGAAGTATTATCCAATACAGTTCTTTCGCAATTTTCGTGCATTAATTCAAAATAATTTTCTCTCGCATCTTGGCATTTTTGTAAAAGGATGTCTAGGCGGTCTCTATGCCAATGTATAACATCGTAATTTTCAGGAATTAGATGTGACGATTTGTGATTTCTAAGCTTAAATTTGTCTAACTCACTTTCCGGTACTGTAGTTACTTCTAAAGTGTTTGTTTGAGGTCTGTATTTTTCCCTTATTTTCTTTTTAGTGCATATGTTTAGAAATGTTAGATCTTTTAGTTCCAGATATATTTGATACATCAGGTGCATAGCTTCATAGTTGTTTCCACATACTATATTCTCGACTTCTGCATTCGTAAGGTATATATCGATGTTTTTAAGCCAATTTTTGATGTAATTAAAGTTGTGCAACTTACTTTGATCACTGTGGTCCACCAAAAGAACCTTATTTGCCTCCTCTTGACTTATTATCATATAACTAAGTAATAGCCGTGTTATTATACCACCATCCCTTACATAATTAGTTAATGATTCGGGTTCAGTGTTGATAATAACTCCGAGTCTTTCCTGGATCCAATTCACAATTATTTCTGTCATTTTTAACAATTTTTACCGATTTAGGTTAACGCAATACAATGTCATTGGTTACCCGGTACCTACGTTTGTCATGATCTTTTGGCATTTTATTTATTTTAGTTTGTTTTCAAAATGTGGTCACAAAATTTATGTAGAACGTGTGGTCAAATTTCTGAAACATGCCATCCCATTTACGATGTGGACTCCTCTGGTGTTATTGAGCAGAAAATTAAATCGGCGCTTCAACTTAATGTAAGCAAACTTTTAAAATGTATTAAATCTTTTTACTAATTCTCTTTTCGTAAACTTAATTTATTACTAAAAAAGCAGATTCCATTTTCAATTAAGTTTATAATTTTAAGTTACAATAGGTACATAATAATAAATCTTTTTTTATGTTTTATTTTTATCATGAATATATATTTCTGTAATTTAAACTGTATTGTTTGTGAACACTCGTTACTAAAGTGATTAATTATAGCCTATAGGCACTTAAAAATGATTTATGCACGATGACATTATAATATGACAATTATAACAAAAATTCTTTGACGTAAACGTGTTTTTATAGCCCGCGGGCGTTATTATGACCCAGCGGGTTATAATGCAACGTCAAAAATTAAAAACAACAATGTTAGACCATTTGATATATTCGAAGTAAGTTTTTTCGTATAAAGATTTTGATTTTTCCGGCAGCAGGCCGCAATTTTTCGCCTTTTCAACTGCTTCCTCAATTTCATTCATCTTTAAACTTTAAAACTGACTGATGTCAGTTGACATTATAATATGACAATTATAACTAAAATTCTTTGACGTAAACGTCTTTAAAAACATTAATATATTAAAAATATTAATATATTAATCGTGCATAAAGTTTTGTATGCATTGCTGGCATAACTGGTTTTTATGGTCCTACGACGCTTTTCTTCTTCGAAATAGCGCCTCGGACCATAAAAACCTTATTATGCCCTTAATACATAAATAACTATTAGACCAATCGGGTTAGGTTATTTATGGCCTTTACTGGTTTATTTAAAAAAAATATTATACAGGGTGTTAATATCTTTTGTAATATAAAAAATAAATTACCAAGTTTAGTACATACATGGGCGCCCATATGAAAATTTTCAGTGGGAATAAACTGTATAAACTTATATACACACCACTTGACACATATTTAATAAAAAAAATTGTTTACGTAGGTATACCTAAGTATACAATAATTTTTGCCATATTTTTTGGATACAAAAAATACAATTAAAATGCATTTTTTTGTAGTTAACGATTTGTTTTATATTAGGGTTAGAATTTGTGAAATCAGCACGAAATATTTTTTGTTCTCATAATTAAATTGCATGTGGCTAAATCGAAAACTTTTTATGATATAAATAAGCCTGGCAACTTTTGCAAAAAAATTGAGAAATTCATAAACAATTTAATTTTGAGGGTTTGGGTTGTAAGCGTACAACCCCCCTCAGCAAAGAATCTGTAAAAGTTACACCCCCAGTGATAAATGAAATGTAACACCACGGCAAATGTTATATTAAATTACGACAAATAAATAAAATAAATACTTACGGTAATAAAGCTCATTAATTTAGTAAACCAAGGACTTCTGAGGTGTTGAATTCATGGGTAAAGTATTAAAAGGGAAATAATAAATACAGTTAATAATAAATAAATCGCGTTTGAACTCAGGTCCAAGACCTGGAAGGCTCCCGTTTATTTTTATATAATTATCTCTCAAAAAACCTTAATGAGGGATTATGGGAGTAAGTTAAACGTATAAAACACTAAAATTTATAACAAACAATAATGAAATTTATTTGGATAAAGCAAATCCACACAAAATCTCCTTACTGCGACCCACTTATAATATAAATAAATAAATACCATTATATAAATAATACATCATACTAGATTATTAACAATTTCTAAAATTTTAAATATAATTTTGTTTCAAGAAACCTTTGATAGGAGAGTTGGCGGTTGTATGTATCTTGGTTGGCGGTATCTATGGTTACCACGTAATCTGTCATTTTTCAAAATTAAATGGCGTCAATTTTTCAGGTTGTTATAAACCATTTGTTGTAAATTTTTTGTAAAGAAAATTACTGATAAAAAATAGCAGTCCTTGACTTATAAAAAAATAGACAAGCCAAACATTTTTAAAATTTAAAGTATTAAAAACAGTATTTGCTAATTTCAACAAAAAAACAAAGCTGTAGGATGTCAACTAGCACTAGCTCACAAAAATAATGCGTAACAATTGCTATTCCTGCGAACCATTTGAACCTATAGTTTTACACTCATTTAATTAAATAGTACCTAGATTTAATGTCAACAAATATCAAATAAATTTTTTTTAATTCAGATAAAAAATCTGAATTTAATATTTTTAACAAATTTTATACAAATTTTTTGAATATCGCGCCCTTTTACACCTCATTAGATCAAATAAAATTTTGCAATTATTTCATTTTAAATATTTAAAACTTTCGTTAAAAAGTTCCTTGCGCTTAAGTTACTTTTTAAACGCATTTACCTACTTTATCTACAAACTTTTGCAGTTTTTTAAATGTAATTGTGATTGTAGGTAATTTGTAATTATGCGGCTACATAAGGTTTGATTGTAATTTTAATTGAAAATTTATTTTTCCAAGTTCCAATTTTTGATAATCAGGCCAATTCACTAACATGAGTCGTTAACGTTAACCACTAGAATCAGTGGTTATCGGACAATTCACTAATTATGTCAGTATCTAGACCATTTTGCGCTGTTTTAATCTTCGACCCCGAGACCGTAAGCACTCTGTATATTAATTGTAAATAAAAAAGTATAGGGTAAAAATGGCAAAAACACAAATTATGAACAATGTATGTAAAGTTTCAATGTTTTTCTTCTAGATAGATGATTCTGATAGAAAACCAAAGCAAATATGTAATACTTGTTTGGCCAAATTGAACGATTTAATAGATTTTATAAATTTGGCCCAAGTAACAAATTTAAAATTTGATAGCATCTATTCATCTTCCCTGAAAAAGATAAGCAATTTATGGACAAGCGATTTATTATCAGGATTACAACAGGAAAACACAATGAATGGTGAATTTGTGGTCAAATCATGTTTGGAATTTTATAATTTTATTTTTAGGTGGTACCATCATACTTAATTCAACAAAGAGTTTAGAAAACCCCACACCAAGTCTAACGAATTTTAAAGAAAGTTCTCAAACAACAGTCCCAAGTCAAAAATATCAGGAATATGAGCAAAAATGTAATCCTATAAACATAACGAAATCTGTATTAAGTCAAACCAATGAAGAAAATAACTATGATTTAACATTTGAATCAGTTTGCAATTCACTGCGATTTTCATCACTTAACTTACAAACTAAAGAAAACTACTTTTGCAACAATTACAAGCAGTATCAGCCACAAATGTTTAATAATTTGTATGGTTTAAAAAAAAAGTTAAAAGTCGAACCAAATGAGATCAAAAAGAAACCTGATGTGAATGCCTTGGAAAAAAGTAAAAAGTCTACTAGTTTGCAAACTTGTAGAAATAGTTTAAACGATTGTAAACTTTGTGGAAAAAAATTCGAATCCAAAAAACAATTGCTGAACCATGAGGGTGCACATTTAAGGGAAATTTTTCGAGTTGGGTTTAACAAAAAAAGGGCTTTAATGAAGAAAAGCTTAACATCCAAATTAAAAACTAATGTTAAATAAAGCAAACATTTGTTTGTGAAATAATAATAAATAATGACTTTGTCATGGGTATTATAAAAATTCGTTTTTGTTAATGAAAATTTATTATAAATTGCTACAAAAATTTTATACTGGGTTCAGTGCTCTATATTTTTATGAATATTTTTAAACAATACATGTAGGCTTAATACATAATTTATTAACACATGTTGAGTAATGATACTTTTTAAATTTAGAAGTTTCAACAGTTAATATATAATTTAAATCAGTCGGAATTAATTTAAATAGCACATACATATAGGTACTTGAAACATTTAAAAACTCTAAAAGCAATTTATAAATAGCCACACAACGTTTACTTTTGAGCTTACTAAGTATAATTAAAGGAACATTATCAATTAAACAACCAAATGAAAAAAAATGTTTTTGTTTAAAAGTAGAATGTCTCCCATTCGGAAAATTCAAGTTAAATGACTAGATTTAAATTTTCATAATAACAAGGCAAAAATACATTAAAAAATAATGTAATGCACACAATGTGATAAAAATTAAATGCCCAGTATTACAATAAAATCTAAAAATAGGCACTCCCTAACAATTAATAATTGTCAATTATTCGAAATAAATCATGCATATTTGAAAAATAAATAAAAATATCACATTCAACAAAACAAAAAAATAAAGATTGAAAAAAAATCACTCGTCAACTTTAAGATTTTGTATGCAAGTAGAAACAGTCTCTACTTCAACTTTCATATTCTTTAAGTCAACGTTTTGATCCCCCCCTTCAGAAACTATACTTTCTAATGATTTAGCCTTTTTAAGCTGATTTAATTCCTCTACACTTTTATCGACACAATCATCAATAATATTTTTAACAAAACTAGTGCATTCGTTGGTATTAACATCACTATTCTCTGATTTGGTCCTGTGCCTCTGCTTATGCAGCTTGTAGGGTTTGTAACGAACATGTGGAGCAGTTGGTCGAACTTTATAACCTATAGAAACATTGCTGACATACCTTGTGTTTATTGTAAGCATGTTTAGGTACTTTTTGTTTTGTATCTCGCTTAAATACTCCTCACGAGACTTCGTTCTAGTTGCTAACATTCCTAAATCATTTAAACTATTATCCAGCTCATTTAGTGGCCTTGAAATCTGAAAATATAAATAACAAACACATGGTTAATATTTACAGGTAAATATTGAAGTTAAAATATTTTTGGGTTCATATTTGCCCATTTAAGTAATACAAAGCTGCTTTATTTATATAATTGACATTTGCATTCTCTATTTTTATCATTTGTTGCTTAACCTCAAGCATGCATTATGCTTGATAATATTTTTAAATGAAGAATAAAAACTTTAAAAGTATGTTAAATAATCATTGTTTAATAAGATATAACTTACCTCTACATCTAAATCATCACATTGCATTTTTAAAACGTTGATAATTAAATTTTAGTTTAATGTTTACATGCACAACTTGGGTTCATTGGAGTTGTCAAATTCAATCAAAACACGTACGCAACCCAGAATACACCGAAGTACGTAACATTGCAATGATTGCATACATGCGCGCAAGTATTGAGTATCTATTTTTGAAACTTGTGAATTGAAAAACAATTAATTATGGCACTGTTTATTTTGTAATTGTTCCCTATATGCTACAAAGTTTGCTAAATCGAAAATTCTCGTGGCGTAGGCATAGCCGCAGTCATATATGCCGAATAAATGAACTATATTTCCCTTTTTCTTGTATTGAACTGTTTTTAAGTCTACTATACAAGAATACTCAGTTGCTAGGGCATCTGTTGATCTTATATCTTCACTTGTTGATAAAATACCCTTTAGAAGGCCTTCCGAAGCCTCCTTGATTTTGCATATAATATCTTCTTTGGTGGTATTTGTGCAAAGTCTAAAATTATTGTTATAGGTAAGGTGTTTAAAATATTATAATAATAATAATAATAAAATAAATTGTGTTTTAAAATTGTACCTTCCTAAAAATTGTACACCTCCTATCATAGGAATCGATGTTTGAAAAGCTGCAGAATGGATTTTGTCACATAAATCTGGATAAATTTTGCTTACAAATTTTCCACGACCGGGAGAGGTAGCAGGTGTAAAAGCATTTTCCAAAGGTACTAAATCCTTACAAAATGTTTTATTACAGGGTTTTTCAACACCAGATTCAATTCCAGATGGTACTAGATAGCTGGTAACTACCTCCTAAGTGTAAAAAAACATGATATAATTAGCTATTGTAAAACGTGGTCACAATTTATGGTTTAGATGCAAATTTGGGTAATAAATCTATTAAATGCTGTTAAAGGTAAAAATAAGGTGTTAGTTTGCATTTTTCTTAAGCCAACAACCTATATTTTAATAATGCAAAGTTTAAAATGGTATGATCAGTAAAATTCCTTAAACCTTTTTGTAATCAACTTACTTGTAAAATGTAAGGTTCATGTAATATACTCGCAATACACGCTACAGCATTTATATGTTGTGATCCCATTACAATTAAATCTGCTCTATCTTTTATACATTCGTGATTGACTCCAAAAACATGAACCGGATATCTTCCGGTACCATTTCCGGCTACAAATACTTTTTTAACGCCATCTCTTAAGTGCATCTAAAAGTTGTTACAAATTTAGTTTATATAATTTTTAAATAAAATTTACACAGGGACAATACAGTAACTGTAGAAATAAGAGATCAAAATAGGTCGATGAACATAAATATGCCTTGGTAAAATGTTAATAATAACCGAGATACAGCCCTAGGGCTATAAATGTGAGATTATATTTTTAAAAATTTGTTATATTTGGAAAACAATTCAATGTATTAAACTCAAAATTTGTATGGTAAAGTTTATAAGTACAAGAAATGAAAATTAAGATTTTCTAAAAAAAAAGACCAAAGTATTTTTTTTCATGCATCCTACTATTTTTTATTTTTTTTAAACTTAGCTGTTTATCTTCAAAAAATCCACAAATTAATATTAACTTTTGTAGTTTTTTTATGTTAACAACTTTTTAATTAGTGTTGCGTTAAAAAACTTCTCGAAAAACCGTGCCTAATTAATCTACTTTTAATTTTTTTCGAATTGATTTTTTTTCAATTTTCAGAACCTTGAAAGCTCGAAAAACACAAACAAGGTGTGGAAAAAATTGTTTTTTTTCGGAAATAATAGATTTAAAAAACTTATGAATGGCTTTATTAAAATGTGTGGACTTTTATTTAAATTTTCAAAAAAATATCAATTTTTCGCAAAAAAGACAATTTTTTTAAGGACCATGAAAAAAAATAGAAAAAACAATTAGTCCGTTTTTTTTTCGACGCATTATATAATTTATAAAACGCTAACTATATGCTAATATGTAATTATAATGTGCCGATTAAATTTAGAAGAATTATATTTAAAATGTGTGAATTTTCCGATGTTAAAATGTTTGTTGATATTTTTTTTGAATATGTTTAAAACATTTTTTTAATTTTTTTAAACATATTTTCCTAACATTTTTATAAAAAAAATTAATTAAAATTAAAAAAATGATTTTAAAAACTACAAAATACATGTTTTGGAATTTTTATATCATTATATTTTTTTCAAGCTTTTTACCCCTGATTTGTCATTTGTACCATTTATAACATCAATTACATATTCTGTTTTAGTATTTTTCCAGGGCGCTGCTTGCTCCTCGCAATTTGTAACAGCAATTCTTATGCCTGAATATAATTTTAAAATAGATTAAATTTTTATTATTCTATTATATGTATAAATAGTACAACCTCCAATGGATATTTCATCGAGATTATGAGAAATTTCCACTTTTGGATCTCCATAAATAGGATCATGTTTGAGCATATACACCATACATTCTATAGATGTTTTAGGGCAGTTTATTGATACAATATGAAATAAGTTTTCTTGCGGGGGACATGTCTAAAATTTTACACAATAAAGGTAATAAATAAGATTATTGTAACTTTACCTGTGTTAATTTGCTTATGAAAACTCTTAATAACGTTCTTGTCAAAGCGTTAAATCCGGCTATACCCACTTTTACCATAATTTAAAAAATGTTTTTGAAATGTCATTAATGAAATGTTGGTAAAATTTTGACAGTGATGACTTTCGCGTATATTATATAGGGTGCTCCAAAATACGCAACCCAAAGGGTAAAGGTAAATTCCAGTTAAAATTCCAAGACAAATTTTCCTTTACAATTTTTTCAAATTCGCAAAATTATTTATTTTACATATAAACCTGCCATCTGCCCTATCAGACGAGCCCCTTGTTTGTATGTAGGTAGGCAACCCAGAATACAAATCGTTAATACTGCGCTCTCATTGTTGGCTTTAAAAATTAACCCTGCAAATTTGCGATTTCAAAAAAATGGTAAAGGTCTGCAAATTTTTGGGCATCTCATAATGGGGATCAAACTATGTCAAAGTCTAAGATTTAAATAAAACCAAATATTTTATTATGGAATATATATTTTTATTCTAGAAATTAAGTATGTACAAAGATTACCCATATAAATTTTATAAAAATCTGTTTTAAACATTATCTAAGGCTACATTGTTACCTACATACTAGGTTTTGAGAAAATGGCATTTCTTAAAACTAAATAATTAATGGCGCAACCCTTAAAAACAGTGCTGCGCAATTCATTTTTACAAGTTACAAAATTTACAATTGTTTCCAAAAAAACTGGAAATTAAATATACAAATTTCCAATCATTGAGAATTGAAAAACTACTTTTATCAATAAATATGTACAAAATCAGACTTTTACTGAATACAATTAACAATACTATAACTTTTTAAAGCATTTAAGTAAATCTTATTTACTCGAATAAGTACCAAACACTTGAAGTGAATTATACCGCATATTAAGGCCACTAAAAATTTTGTACTATAACAAAAAAACTTTTGCAATTTTTCTTAAACATAACTCTCACTTTCCGCGTCAGTGACAAGCAAAAGCCTGGCAGTGGCGTAGGTGGGCGGAGGCGGGGGTGGAGGTCTGTAAAGGGGCGGCAAATGGACGGGCGGTAGGTGCCTCAATGGCGGCGGGCGTCTGGGAGGGATGGGCGGCGAACACAAATTTTCGTTTGACGCGCAAAACGCTTCATCTTCTTCTATCCAGGTGTTATCCAAAGAGCGCATGCGCGCAGCCTGCCGGGCCCAATCAGATCGATGGAAAGATGGCGTTTGGTAGTTTAGGCTCGGGGATTCCCGGTCGTCTTCGGATAAGGTTAAGCCTGAATCGCGGGATAGGGATTTCTGGTCTTTGCTCAGCTCGACACTATCCAGAGATAGTCCGAGTGCTAGAAAAAAAGAAACATTTAAAAATGTATTTTTGAGTATGTTAAAATACACTCACAGGCAAAATAATCGATCCACACAAATTTTCGATGAATTTCAATCGCAAATAACTTTTTTATTTGTTTTCGGATTTAAACAAATATTAAAGAATATTGTAGATACATTAATGGAGAATCGCTCACATTTTAAAAATTACTAAAAAATACACGTACGTTTATAATATACAGGTTTAAACAAAAAGATGTTTTTTACCATAAGTTTAAGACACTCTGTAGAGTGGCAAAACCGTATATTGTTCTAAATTGTGTTTTAATTATCAAGTCACAACTATTTTTACCAGTTTTGTTTTTGGTTTACCTGGATATATTTATTTTTGTGAAAAATATGGATTTTTTTAAAAAAACATTGCAATTTCCAATATTTTTACTGTAAGTATAAAGAACTAAGGTTGCTATGGTCCATCCCTAGCCTATGGAGGATGACAGTGACAGTTTTGTTGAATCATTCTATACTTGGACATGTAATATACAGCTTTCAAAAGCTATCAAATTGTTTTTTGTAAATTAATGTGTTAATTTTGAGGTGTCTTCTCACTTTTAAAAATGTCTCCGACTGATGTTGCCCTTTGTACTTTACTTCTTGTGACGTTTAAAACACTTGCCACGTAATACTGTGACCGTCTATCCTGGATTAAATTAATGGCTCTGGCAACATCAGTCGGAGACATATCCACTCTTTAAAGTAAGAAGACACCACCAATTTAAACATTAATTTGCAAAAAACAATTTGTTAGCTTTTGAAAGCCGTGTATGACGTGTCAAAGTATGGGATGATTCAACAAAACTGTCAATGTCATTCTCCATAGCCTATGGATGGACCATAGCAACCTTAGTTCTTCATACAGAAAAATATTGGAAATTGCAATGTTTATTTAAAAAATCCATATTTTTCACAAAAATAAATTTATCGAGGTGAACCAAAAACAAAACTGTTAAGAATAGATGTGACTTGATAAATAAAACTTAATTTAGAACAATATACGGTTTTGCCACTCTACAGAGTGTCTTAAACTTATGGTAAAAAACATATTTTTGTTTAAACCTGTATATTATAAACGTACGTCTATTTTTTTAGTAATTTTTTAAAATGTTAGCGATTGCCATTAATTTATCTACAATATTCTTTAATATTCGTTTAAATCCGACATCAAGTAAAAAAGTTATTTGCGATTGAAATTCATCGAAAATTTGTGTGGATCGATTATTCTGCCTGTGAGTGTATGTCAAAAGCAATTTATTAAATTTTTTCTTTTGAAAAAACAGTGAAAAACAATGTGACTTGGTACTTACAGTGTAAACTGTCAGATTCCTCGGCTCCGCTATCATTCTGTACTTCCCCGAGTAACGACAAAACCTGGTTTCCAAATAGAGTTTGACAATTATTGATTAACATCTCCACAAGAGTTGGTAGGGTTCTTAAAGGTGCGTTTTGAGATGATTCCCAAAGCAAACTAGGACCAACACAAACACCTATAAAAAAGAAAACAATTAATACACAAGTAGATTTAAAAATATAAAAATATCATACCTAAGTTAGCTGCTGACATGAGGTTATATATGGACCTTTTAGCAATGCTATGTAATACACATATAACATTAGCCAAAAGTAGGTGGTTCTCTCTGGGTAACAAAGAAACAAGACGTCTCAGATGCTCCAATCTTCCACTGGAGGCGACATTTAACCATTCTTGTGCATTTCCAGCTATCAAAGGTTCGGGTAGACTCCTCAAAAAGTCCTTTAGAAGAGCTGCCAATAGAAGTGCGGGTTGATTCGAAACTTCCTCGCACATTACAGAGCCTTGAGCATCGATTTTTTCACGTAATTCTCTTAAGGCTCTTGCTGAAGCACATCTTCTGAATATACCTTGCGTGTTAGGGCCCCTTTGGAATAAGGCTCTCAGACAAGATAGTATAACGGGTGGAAGACTATTGTTCGTAAGTAATCTTGAAAGGGGGACACCAAAGAATCTACAGGTAGTTTTGCGGAATAGTTTTAACGGTGTTTTTCTGGGTGAGGGTTTTATGTTGGGTTTTAACTCGAAGACTATATCACTGGGTATTCTGGAGTTATTGCAGTGGGTTAAATCGAAGCCCTCTTCTGTGCACAGTGATTGTCTTAATCTTGCTAGTTGAATGGAGTGTGGTCTCTCGCAACCCATGAGAGGACAAGGTGGGCTATCTTTATCCCTTGCATATAGAGTGTACGACCAATCGTTGGTTCTGGATTCATCCAGTGCTAACCTAGCTACATCCCCTGAAGACATCTCAGGACCTATACCCAAAGTTTTGGAGCATTCTGTCCCACTTAAGGGATCTCTGTAGACAACTTTAATGTTCGTTGTTGGTGGTTCAAGCCTCAACTGTGCTGACAAAGCTTGTTTTAATTCGCGCCACCAAGAGTCCCGTGCTGCCTGTGTGCAGAAGGTCACCAAATATGTCCTAGCAGGAGAGGGCCACCCCAATAAAAACCCTGTATCCGAATCGGGACAAGGTGCTAACCATATTTCCGACACTCTAACGCTTTCCTTAAGCTTAAAATTACCGGCTGATCGTGGTTTAGCCACCAAGAGCAAATCGGAGAACAAAAATAGATGCCTTGGTTTGGCGTTAAGTGCTTGACTTGGCGGTGACATCGCACAGGGTGCCTCAACGAGAAAAACCCTGTTACAATTTGTGGTGTTGTTGTTCTCAATCAACGTTAAATCGCCCATCGACTTCTTTCTGAACGATTTGTTTTTCTGTAACAAAATTATATACCTTTAATAAATACTTATGTGCGAGTGTGCATATCTTAAATGCACACTTGAGTTTCCTGAGAGGATTGGATCGCTCGCAGTGCATGCTTTAAATTTCGTATTACAACATTTTATGCCTTACAAAAGAACTTAACGTAAATTAAATGCACCGAGGAGATAGGTATACGCAGATATTTAAATGAAATGGATGGTTTGCAATGCGATATTTTGTAAAGTTTGCCAGTGAAGTACCAAAAGCAATATAAGTTAAGTAGCTTTTTTATATTCAAAAAACTTTTTTACGTTTTTCAATGACATTGATATTCTTAAATATGTGTCATATATTTTCTGTGCGTCTTAGTCAACCCTATACGTCTTAAGAATGTGTCAGGACGTTTTATTGTTAAAAGGATAGAAAGAGTTCAAAACGTCAAATAAATTTTTAACGTGCTACCTATTAAAGCCGAAAAATTCTACCTGATACCCTCCTAATGTGCTACGTATTATAAATTTCGAGACAGGTGACTTTGGACATGTGTTAATACAGATAAACCAGATGGCTTATAATTTTAACTCCCCTATTATAGTTTTTAACGTTTTTCATACAAACTGTTTTATTTGAGATTACCACAGAATAATAGAAAATGTGACTAAAAACTAATTGAAAGTGATTTAATTTAACCGATATAAAAAGTATATGAATAAAATAAACAAAAAAGTTAATTGTATCGGTTGTCACCGATATCTTTTAACTGTATTTATTTGTCGACAAAATTCGTCTAGAATTTTAATGAAATTGATCGTAAAAAAACTATAGAATATTAATTTAATCACAGAAGCGTGAAATTTATTATATAACAAGTTGCTTACCACATTATAAGAAGAGTTAGGTTCTGGTATATGCAGTCCCAAATAATCGTTAGGGAACAGATCTTGTATTCTATCTAAATCCCTTCTTCTACCATCTAAAACTGGCTGAGAACCGCCCAGGAGCCTACCATAATCAGCGAGCCTTTCAGCCTTTAAACAAAAAAAAAATACAATATTAACTACTGAATTATTTTATTGTAATAGCAGGTAACTTTCTGCAATTATAATAAGGCATAAATGAAAGTAAGTAGATAGAAAGAAAGAAAATCGTGACTTTAACCATAGATACCTATGTAATTTACTTAAATTAGGTTCTAAAGCACAAAATCTGTTTTACCCCAGACGCATAAGTAATATTAATTACGTAATTAAGAGTAGGTAATTCACAGAGGGCCAGACATTGATTTTATAAAAAATTTACAAACAAATTGTGGGAACAAGTGAGGTTTTTAAAAAATCACTTAGACGTACTTTATTAATTGTAACTAAATCTCTGTCATGGGAGAATGCGGCATGAAATTAAAACAGTTGAAGATGTAATACTAAGTGAGCATGAAAATAAACAAAACGCTTTTTAAATGTTATAGAAATTAATCAAGATTTTTAGAGTTCCAAGTGTATAATAAGTAAAAAGTTTTCAAGTGTTGTTTTAAGTACAGTAGGTAATAATTTATCATTTGCTTAAACGTATATACAATCCTTTTTATTTTCCCAATAACTTTGTATTCAACACCTTAGAAAGTACCATAAAACCCACTATTTTAGGTACAAAAATAACAAAAATCTTCCATGAAATATTATAATTGTAAAAGTATCTAGTAAATTCTAGGAAATGTCTTAACCTTTAAGGTAGTATTTGAAGAGTTTGATCATGAAGCCTACAGCACAAATTAGGTTTTATATTTTCGATGGTTACTGACGTCTGCTTTGATGCTGTTTTGGAACAAATCTAACAATAAACGGAACACCAGCGCCCTCTTATTTTATTAAGTTATATAACAGTATGCCGTAAAAGCAAATTCAGCAGTGCCAATGTAGTAAAACAACATGATCCCCTTTGGTTGCTCGAGTTCAAAAACAAATTTTTCAAAGAATATAGAAAATTTCACTATATATCAAACATTCGTTTCCTAACTCGAGAAACAAAATAGGATAATGTTGATAGATTAAAAATTGATTATTTTTTTATGGAAATCTCATGAGCGAGCTAGTGAGATACAAAATAAAAAAATAGAGTATGAAAACCAAAATAACTTTAAACATTATTTTCTTGGAATCTGTGCTGTAGAAAAAAACTAAAATTATTTGTGAATGTCTGAAATCCTATGTTAAATTTTGAAGACATTCTATGGAAACTACCTAAGTACTTAATTAAATTAATACATAGGTTTAAACAAGCAAATACATAAAAAAGTTAATAATAGTAAAACTCTTACTTTTCTCAGGTTATATGTATGTGTACTATGCATACCACTGAACACTTTATTGATAGCTGGATTAACTATTTTAATAGGCATTTTTAACTAAATTTTATCACAAGCACATTAACAATATTATTCACCAGAGGCTTAAAACCGACTGATGCTTACTTACAATAATTATTTTAATATTGGTTTGTTGTGTAAATACTTCTTATCGAGACTTTGTGACTAATTACTTTTAGTTCATCTCTTGGTCATGTCTAAAGGTAATTATATAATAATTAAAATGTGGATACTATGGTACAGTCACGAACAAATGTAGCAGCAGCATCGATTATTTTCAACTCGAAATTATATCTACTGGTAAAAAAAATTAGTATTACTTATAATTTTGTTCATTGTTATATAATTTTATTGATAAATATTCACTTTTATTCCTCGATGATTCATGCTGAATTGTTTATAATCAATTAATTAATATTTAATATTCAATATTTTTTTAAATGTATAAAATGTGCTTTAAAACATAAATAAAAAGTTGTACCACTACGATTTTACTAAAAATGCCACTAAAAGTATTAAAAACTACAAACGAATTATTTAGATAAGAAAGTGCAATTAAATGCACTTTTGAAACATAAATAAAATGTAATAAGTTACGTAACGACCGACTCGTATTACCTACTTTAAATCGAGTCTGTTGGGTGTTACATTACATTTTTTATTATTATAAACAAGACATGCCTACTTGGTAAAATATTTTTGACTTGCGGGGCAAAGTTTAGTAGAAAGTAGAATTGTTTTTGTTTGCAAATTAAACAAAGATTATTCTAGGGTTATGTCGCCAGCTAGCTAAGAAGTTAAGTGTTTGAGTTTTGTCTAGACGACGGAAATTAAGTAATTCCGCATAGACAGGTAATAGGCAATATTTACAACTATCGTAAACTATGATAGAAAAACGTGTTTATGAGTGACGTGATTTCGACAAAGAAATTTCGTCTGAAGTAAAGTTGTGGTAGGGTCTTAAAATAGTGCGGTATATTTAGCCGCAATCGTGTTCGAAATGTGTTCCCATGAAATCCGAGCAAAGCCTTTTTGTCACCCACCTCCTTCCTTTTTGATATTTATAGAGTGATTTACACAAAAAAAGAATCACCGGTGCGTATATAAGTTCATCCTCTTTTATTATCTATCGATTCTAAGCAAAATGTTTAATCCTGTTTAAAATTTACAAACAGTTAATTAAAATGTGACTTAACAGTATTTTATGATTGAAACCCATAGAATTCATAAAAAATAGTATACTATACAGGGTGATAAATTACAAACCAGTTGTTTTTAAGTTATCAAAGTTTAAAAACTTGACATAAGCTGATAGTAATGAGTTGATATATAAAAACGGTTGCAATGAACAATTTACATAAGGCAGACCCCCGTTAAACATGGTTGACAGATATATTTTTCGTGGGTTTGTGTCAGAAAATCAAAACTTCAAATGATTTGATTAAATTTGTTAATAATAAAAAAGTGATAATGATTTGAAGTAATACACTATTAGAGACGTAATAAAAACTGGTATTTTTCAGATTGAAAAATCAATTCTTGCCTTTTTTGTTTAATTAAATGAAACTCAGCAACACATGCATTAAAGTATCTTATTTGTTCAAAGTTTAATTTTGTATGAAATTATTGGTTGCAAACGGTTGACTTTAGAGAAAAGACAATACATATAGTCTAAAATTAATATTTTAAGAAATATGTATTTGAAGTCATAAGTGGAAAAATAGTACATTATAGTCCGCCGAGCATACATTTTAATCCTAATACGCTTTCGGCGCCGGGTTTTATGTACATTTTTTTTCAAAGCATTTTTAGGTTAGATTTAACTGACATGATGACATTTTAGCATATTTCTGTACGGCGTTTAATTATAATTTGACTTTTGAACTTGTATTATTAATATATTTTTTCTACTCCCACGCTCTTTATCGTTTACATGTTTCCATGACACTCTAGTGTCCACAACTTGTCAATGTGTATTTAAAAGGTCAATGTCACTTATAAGTGACCTTTTAAATACACATTGACAAGTAGTGGCTTTATGGCGCTTTAGTCACGGGCTGAAGTTAGTTTTAAGTGCCTTTCTTGTAAAATAATACTAAATGTGAAAATTATTTTATTATCTCAATACAAAAATACAAAAGTATTAAATAGTTTCTCAACGCCAATATTTGAAAAATTTATATGAACATTGTACTGACCTTTTAATTTCGCCGGCAGTAAACTATAACTTAAATTCGGGCACGGACTCTACTGTAAAGTCCTCATAAAACATTTTCTTTACTTTTACTGTGAAAAACTGTCAATTTTCAAGGAATACATTTCGATTTATAACCTTTATAATTGTGTTTATAAAATAAAAAAATGTGACAATTGACGGTGACACACAGTTTCCCCTAATGTTTCATAGATGGCACTCTATACAAATTTTTGATTTAAATCTCGTTTATAAATTTTTCTATACACTCATTAATTTAAGCACTCGCTCGCAAGACGCTCGTGCCTAAATTAAATTCGTGTATAAAACGGCGTTTATCAAACTTGATACATAATATACTATTATATATATATATATATATATATATATATATATATATATATATATATATATATATATATTATATTATATTATAAAACCATTAATTAATATTGACATTTTACTAAAATTTTAATTTTAATTTCTTATAGGTAGGTATCTCTTAAATATTAATTTTAGAGATTTGACTTATATATGATATAATATAATATAAGGCCAAATGATATAACATAATTATGTCCAAAATAAAGCTTAATTGGATAAGGATAAAAATAAAAACAAAATTTGGTAAAATTTTTAAAAAATTAAAATTAAAATTAAACAAACTAACGTAAAATTAAATAAAAATTATACCATTAAAAAAAAAGAAAACATTAGAATATGCAATTTGTGATATAAAAACAATGAAATAACAAATTTAAGGCAAAATTTAAAATATTAAAGATATGTATTATTCCATTCCCACGTCTTTGTGTATATTTCCATCGACACCTTTAAATTTATTGACAGATTAAGTAAACAAATCCCTTAAATTTTGACCTGAGCCGTTTTCCTTATTTTTGTCTTTTTACGTTTTTATTTTCCCTGTCAATCAACAAGTTGTATAGAATAAGAGCCAGATTAATGTGGTGATAATATTTGGGATTGTATACCAGATAAACAAACATTGATTCAGGTAGGGTGAGATTAAAAAAATTACGCAACAAAATCAGTTTTAGCAATCTGGCGAAGAACATTTCGTAAATTAACTTTTCTACTTAAATTTCTAATACATAATAATTGCATTTAAATTACGAATAAAGTGCTTTTTAAGCCTTTCGCCTGAATTTTGTCGATTTATCTAAACGACATCAAAATAATTTCCACTGTGTGCCTAAAATCACGTACATTTCAGGTTTCTAGCTTAATAACTGTAAACACCTTAGGCAGAGATTAATCCAATATTTATAAGTTTTTGAAATTCTTTTGCGTATACATAAATAAATATAATAAATAAATAAATTATTGCTGGTTTATCTCATTATATGGCGTTTAATGTTATTGCAGTGACCGTTAGGAGAAATGGTTACTATTGATTCATAGATCTAAATTGGGCCAAATTAGGTTTTGAAATTCAAAGAACGGCAAATAAA